GCTTTTGAGAGAGAGAGAGAGATATTGGGTCTGGGCTCACCAGGGCTGGATTGTTGTGAGAGTGGGAGTGAGAGTGAGAGTGTTGTAAGGGTGGTTATTGGATTAGATTGATTGGATGATTGGAGGAGTGGATGAGGAGGAGTGGATGGTAAGTGGGTGTATGTGGTGTTTTACACTTTGCTTTTGAAGACTGTTTGGATAATATAAGAGAGAAATGTAAGCTTAGATCGAACGATACTTATAGTACTATAAGTACCTCACTGATTCAGTCAACATAGACTGCGTACAATTAAATATGAAGCTAGTCACGTGAGATATTCCATTCTCCCATATTAAAGCGGCCGCTCGTCGTATATGGCTACCTATACCCTTGCCAATCAACTGTTAATATGGTGGATATTACACGAAATTTCTCTAAGTAATCACTCGATGAGCTGAATTATGTTACGGTAGTAGATTTAGGCTAGCCCAATAAGGGTTATAGATTTAGAAACGGTTTCTTATATACCTATGTTTGTTTCACTAGGCGGTGTAATATTTAAAGGGATAATAGCTCTGTGGTACGACGGTGATTTAATAGAATTTACTAATATTTATACCTAGGTAGGTATAGTACTAGCCTACTTATAATCGGCGAAGCCTACTTTTATACTAAAACTTATAGAAAATAACGTGAATTAATTCTACTCTACTACTATTAAAAATTACCAATAGTTATAGGGATTACTAAATCGAGTATTACGTATATGCATATTAACTTAAATTATAACGTAATCTTAAATATATAAAGTTATTTAGTAGTAAAGTTAAGTAAAATATAAAAGTATACGTTTTATAATAAAAAAAACCGAAAACCGCCGAAATCTCGAACTACTTAATTTTAATTAATACTATAACGTTAATTTTAGTTTTTAGCTTTATATATTAATTAAAAAGATTTATAAGGTTCGAATTAATCTATATCTTTAATTATAGTTTTGAGCTTTACATATTAATTAAAAAGATTTATAAGGTTCGAATTAATCTTTATCTTTAATTATAGAGCAAAGTGTACAGGGAGAGAGTTATATACTATTACAACGCGGGCAAAAGTGTTGTTTTTGGTGGGGTTTTCCGTTCTACCGATTATAGGTGGTCACTGATTGTAACATACGATTCTAGAATACGAAGTACGAGTAATACCTTGGCTACCTATTCGTACCTGTGACTAGCGTCTATGCCGAGAAATTCCTGGGCGTAAAGGCTTTAGCGGTTTCGGTGCTATTATCGGCAATTTTGTATTTCGAGTACAAATATTTTAACGTCGGCTGTATGAAATAAGAGGATTTCAAATTATAACCGGTATTTTCAAACGTGTAAGGTAGCTGGTTAACGGGTCAGACTTGGAACATTCATGTGGGCTGTGCCTTTGATTAAGCAAATTCAAATTCTGGGCAACCTTCGGGAAATTGGATGGCGCAGTAGATACAAATGATCCCCCCCATTTACACTATAATGATGCAGCCTACTCCAAGGCATGTACATACTACTGGTTCCCGTCTCGGTGCGATTCCTTCGGTCTCTAATATTAAAGTCTTCATTCTAGAGCTTTTCATATATTTTGGCTGGTCAAGAGCAAGAGTTCTTTTTGTAAACTGGGACGTTGTAGGGTAGTTCCCTCCCCGCGCTCTTAGGAGATAGTGATTGTATCTACCTCAAGGTCTTGTTTCAACCTGGCGTACACATCGGCGTAACCCCATGTAAAGGCCAAGGCTCGATGGAACGTATATATTTGCGAGTATCTCCAAACTTTTCTCTCCAATTCCAGCCACCTGCTGTAGTCACAGCTCTAAATACCACTTCCACCAAAGAACAAGTTTTCCAAGACCCCTTTCTTCCGCAAAATGCAATTACAAAGCATCCTCACTCTCGTCGCTTTGGCGACTAGTGTTCATGGTTACACCATGGCAATTTGCACAGATGCCGCAGTAAGCATTCCATCCTTACACACTCGAAGATTCTATGCTATTCATTCTTTCTTCACCCTCGCGACGAGCAGATTACATCTCTGTAACACATAACATAGGGCAAAGGGGTCACTGAACCGACCATAAACGCATGTGGTAAGGCTAAGACTGAAGGTGGCTGCTCCGATTGCCAGTACATACCTTTCGATGGGTTTCATTGCGAGAGTATGGAAAACAAAAATAACGATGACAAGGTAAACACTCGCCTTCCTTTCCTTCTTAGGCACGAGATAGTTGGGGTGCTGATTTGTTGTCTCTTTGTAGTGGAAACAATATTGCAAGGATGCCGGTGCCGCCGGTGGAGAGGGCACCAATGATTAATGTTCTGATAATCAAGGTCAACATCTCTGAGGAGCTTATGTATGAGGACTTGGATTATGTTTACTAGTCTAGAGAGTTGGGTTAGATTGTGATCAAATCATGATATTGTTGCTCTCATAGTGCCCTTTGAACTCGACTGAGTCAAGGTGATCGAGAACTGGAACTGGAGTTCAGGGATAGTCTTCGCGAATACCATGTATTATATATATATGAATTACATCGACCGGCGTCGGAACTAACGTAATTTGCTTTGGGAATGACTAGTCTCACTTGATTTAGACTTAAAGCTGAGTTACCTGAACACAACATTTCCTGTGATATAACCATAGCAAAATTTTGCCATTTGAGTATTGGTTCATCTCGTTGGTTCTTGATATCAGTTCCTAAGCATTACCCTACCTCTCATCATCCTCCCGGCCATGATCTACACAGCTCCTACCCTCGGCGCCTTCATCATTTTTCATTGGCTTTATCATCGTCATGGTCACTACCCTCTTACCATTGAAGCCCCCCAAGGTTGTAGTATACTGCTTGCAATTCCCATCAATGTTGTTTTTTCAAGGCCCAATATAATTAGTTGTCTTTTACGTAAACTTTCATATATAGCCAAAAATTTCATACAGGACTTAAAATATCTATCTATAGCTATAGTAGAGATTTCCTCATAGTATGATCGTGCTCGCTAGACGCTACTTCCGCTTAATCGTAACCTTTTCATTTCTCGCTTAACTATTTTTCATTTCTATTGCAAATCCGTTTCGCATGATAGACCTTACTACTTAAGTTAAACTACCAAGTACAATCTTGTAAATTAGGTATAGTTTTAGCAAAAGATTACCCAAATTTATAACTATTGAATTCAAAATACAAGCTAACCTTCACTATGGGTTTGTGTCTGATAGCACCTCAACTCATGATTGCTATGTTGCTAGCTAGGTATGTCTCTTCACCTCAGCGATGTATGCCCCCTAGCTAGCGGGACATCCACATACCCTATGAGCTAGTGTGCCCCACATACATAGGTGTAGCGACGCTCTCTCAATAACTTAATCATTGTTCTTGAGTGTGACCCTCTAGGCTAGATTCTAACAGTCGTACAGCAACACAACTATCCAAAGAACACGACAATGTGAGCGATGACCATCTACGAAATTCACAAGGAGCCAGCTTGCTTTGCAATCAAGAAGTCTGTTTAGCTAAGTTAAAGTTATTCGGTTTGTTTCTAATTAGACTAATCATTTCTATCTGGCGCTAATACATGCGAAGATTTGCTGCACGAAGTTCTAGGGCCTTCAAGCACTCTTCTATTGATTTCTCTTCAGAGATTCAGCAATAAATATTTGGTCTGAATCCACAAAAAGATTGTGAGGGGATTACAATCTATCATCACGAACTGCCCAACCATGAGCAACCACAACGATCCTACGAGATCGGATTTCTCTAAAGCTCGTACAGCTCCACCAGGAAAGCCAAGATGTTTTTTGACGCATCTTCTCAATCTCGACATTCGTGTTCGCATTTACAAACTCCTTACAAATGATATTCTTGGTAGAGCCGAGAGCGTCATCGAAGAGCTCTACGACCACCAAAAAGCCAAGAAATATCTGACCCACGACCAAGAGCTTTGCAAGCAAGAAACTCCACGATACAATCTTCACCCGGCGATTTTACAGACATGCAAACTTGTCTATGAGGAGGCAGTGGAGATACTCTACAAGGAAAACACGTTCTTCGCTGCCTGTTTCACGAAGTATGGGAGTAGATACGGCTCAGCGCCTCCATGCGCCATCGTATCTCCGTTGACGAGAAACTGGAAGTTCTCGTACCATCCCGCCATGAGCAGCACCTATATATCCAAAGAAATATCTCCATCTTTTGAGAAGGTCCGCAAATGGAATATATTTTTGAATCCTGAAGATATCCAACACAACTCAGATGCTGGCATTAGAAGCTTATGCCAAACGATTTGTCCCGGAAATCCAGAGGAGATAAGCTTTATAATTGACACGCCAAAACCATGTGGAGAACTCGTACCTATTGAGCAATTGAGAATACAAAATGGCTACCCAGAAGCTGTGTTTTACGCTTTGAATTATTTCCCACAATATCTGAGAAATGTAGGAGTTGTTACATTTAGAATGGGAACACCAGAGGATGTTGTGGACAACGCTTATATGGAGAAGCTGATCGAGAATCAAAGGTGGATTGACCGATATGGATTGACGAATAAGTACATCGGCGTGACTCTTGACGACGCTGGATTGACACATGCTGTTCGAGAGGGATTTACAGATTGCATAACAGCGGCCACGCCAATTGAACACTTGTTTCTGATGTTCAAAATTTTATTGTGGTTCTGCCGGTCCTTCGAATGTCACGAACCTTTCAAGGCACAGATGGGTCTGACTGCAGATGGGTTACTGGACAATCTTAACAACGACATGGACTTTGCGGAAGCAATGCCTCTCTCGCTAACTGAACATCCATATCAAGCATATCTGAAACCATGCTTCCGAGATATAGTGTCTTTTCTCCGTACTGCAAGACGCTGCGTCGATGAATTTGGTAGCACACGGGAGTTTCGTTGGAACCGTAGAGAAATAATCGAAGCTCATAGAGAGCATTTCAATGGGATCCAAGCAGGCAAAATCCAGGTAGAAAATTATTGCGCTCCCTTCTTTTCCCAGAAGGAGAGACAGGAGCAAGCTACCGAGCTTGACATGAAGATAATATACGACTTGTTGCATGCATGGTGTGCCTCGTTCTGCAGATACGGCTTTTTTAAGGATGATGCGAAAATCAAGGATCGAACGATCGATCAGGAAGGGAGAGAATTGAGACAAATCTTGCATAACCTCCCACACGAGAGGGCATTACAGATGGCGGTTAATCACTACAACGCAAAAGATAAGGGGGGTTTCTTCCAAGAAGTGAATAAGATCTATGTTGCGTTGGAGAAAAGATACACAGACATTGAGGCGGCAACAAATGAGCTCTACAGCCATGACTTATTTTATTACGAGGAAGATGAAGGATACCAAATAAGATAAGAGCAAATATTCTGGTGATTTGGCAACGAATATAGCGGAGAAACAGGTACTTTATTCCTCTTTGTTTTCTAGTATTGAGACTAGCAATAAACCACTGGAGCATCAGGCAGCAGGGGATTGATCTGCTACATGCTTTCTTACGTACAACGAGACTAGCAAAGGAGAATATTATGGAAACCTCTATGCTATATGTGTTAGTCTTCGGGGCACTCGTACAACTTACGAAAGAGACTCTAGAGAAATTTGCAAAAAATAAAAATCCTCAATAGCCCAGTCATCCTTTGAGATTATTCACCCATCTTGTACAGTACGTATCCATCCTTATGGATCAAAATCCAAAAAAAAAGCCAAAAAAAATAGTCCCCCAGATCGATCTAGTTGCGAAAGTGGTCAGTTGAAGACGAACGAACAAGCGACGCCCAACCCGCAGTGACTCATCCCCCTATTTCCCACGGATAAGTCTGGAATATGTAAACTACACGCTTACGACTTATCAAGTTTTGCTCGAAAGCGACAGAATCTGTGTTGTTTCGCAATATCAACGTACTGGTGGTTGTGGGTCGCGCTTCGTGTGCCGAGGTTCTCCCTGCTAGCGTAGTCAATCCAACGTTTATCCGTCCACTCGAGGTGCGCGCGTACTCGCGTAATTTGACAGGGTGAACGGGATTCACCACGGTCACTCTCTAAGTCCTGGTAAGTATACGCCAGTTTCTGCATCTTGTAGTAGTATTATCTGAGATTTCTCTCGACTTAGGATATACGCCGTAATCTTGCCTCAACTGGTTGCAGCGTTCGCTAACTTTGTTGACATAGACACTGCCGTATTTTGTCAAGTTGGCTTGTTTTAGTCGCTCTTATCTAACGTCATTGGACGGACGCTGGTGTAGGTACTTCGTGAAAGATTTAGCTCGGTAACCACATCACAGTTAGATGCAGGTATAACTTATTTAGCATCTAGAAAGAGTTATATATATTATACTCTCTTTTTTAGTAGTATATGATATTAGACTTGAATAGTTGGGAACATGTTATAAGCATTTGAACGTTGTAACTATATTATCTTTACATTGTTTATTCTCGTATACATTTGTAGGTATAATAGAATCAGTAGTAATAACAATTATATAAACCCGATATAAGAGGAAATCTATTCTATAAAATACCGTCCCTCTGGGAACTCGGTGGCAGAGATTCTCGTACACGTACGAAAATTTCGTACACAGGCCTAATTAGGTAGTTAAAAGTAGAGATTTAAGTACTATAATATAGGCGTCTCTACTTTTCGGATATTATACTTTATTGTCCCCTGCTAAGCGAAAACAGAGGGCATTTTAGAAGAAAATGTTATACTTTTAGGAACCGACTGTGACAGTTTTTGATTTAGTGAATAAGGGTTCGCTTAGCGAAGTTGCGGGTGTACCCTTCCGTAGATAGACAAATACCTAAGGAGTGCGAAGAGCGTCTCTCTTCCCTCCTTGCGAACAATCTATTCCTTGATCCCCACCATAACACCGACACAGCCTATAATTAGCTTTTAAGAGAGTTTTAGCATAACCCGCGCTTTCCGTCAGCTATCTGTCTATATTAGAGTGCCTTTCCCCCTCCCTTTACCTCTGTAAACTACCTGTATGTACTTAGCCGTTTCTACCTGTCCCTCCCCCTCTATCCTTCCCCCTCTGTCCCTCCTTGTAAGTACTTTCCTATTTTGCTGTCCTGTAAGTCTCTACTTCTATTACACCCCTATTACCACCCCCCCCTTTCCTGTAAACAAGTAAACATATAAACGCTTAAACAAGTAAATAGAGAACTGCGTCTTTAGTATAATATTTAAGGTTTTACGCCCACCGTTAGTGTACGAAAAAATACGCGCTAGGGATAGTTTTATACCCCGGGACAGCCCGCGGCGGGTGTCAGATATTTTCGTACACATCTGGCCTCGAGTTCCCATAGGGCGTCTACCTAGCTAAGAATAACAATCTAGCAATAACGTTAGAAGCTAGCAGAAACGATGTGACGACCTTCTAAGCATTGCGTAACAGTATCTAAACTGTGTTACATATCTTTAGTACTAAATGAGAGAAATTTAATTAGAAATACCTATTTAGATTCCATGTTTCCTTCTCGAACTCACGTATTAAAGAAGCTCTAGCGAATAAGTATTTCCACCCCATTTGCTATTTCTGAACCGATATCGGACTCTTGATTCCTAAGGAGCATCACTTTTCTGGGTTCATCGTGGGAGTTGCGAATAGGATCCAGTGAATGTACCTGAGCTCACCTTCTCCTACAGCTTTTTGCCCCAATAGTTTCATTTTCAACCCAACCTTCAACCATTTATATTTCTCCAAGACATCAGTCTTGTCACCTCTACACCCTTTCTTCATTTGAAGACTTTTACCCCCCATGCAACAACAAAACATGGCCGACTATAACCTTCATCAAACAAACATTATAAAATAGCCAGTTGCTATACGGCATCGAACTTTTGCTAAACGGCATCGAAGTGACCGGGCCCCCCAGCCACTTTACGGTATGTGCCTGGGTATCCTTGATGACTCGTACTAATGCTAGTAATGTTATTGTAACTACTTATCTAATGATATACGTAATCTTGAAAATAATACTATTCGTAACTTTGCTCTACTACCTACTGTACTAAACAACTATAATTACTACTACTCTACCCTATACTACTATTTAAAGCTATTCTCATCTACTAAGTCGTCTACCTTATTGTCGTACCCTTACTATTGTATATTATATCTACAAATACTCTTACTATTACTATTATATTATAATTACCCTTTAATAAAGTAGAAGCTCTTTTAGCTCTCTCTACTACTTTAGGCCCTGCTATTTCGGGAACTTTTATAACTATTAATAAGGCGTATAATTTCCTTGAGAAGTATAGCTTTTAGTATAGTTAGGTATATTAAATTTAGTCTTTATATTCTAATCCTATCTAGTACTAGCTACGTAATCAGGAGCTAAAATAGGTCTAATTTACTTATAATAAGTCTTAAAACTTAGGGGACTATTCTACTACCGAGTCGATAGTATACCTCTCGAAATACTATAATCGCTAGGGATCTAAAAAGATAAAGTATCTATTGGGTTGAAAGGGTATTGGGTACTGAAGGTCATGGAGAATTGATTGCATTGTAAAAGGTAGCTATCTAAGGTGTTTATATAAAGAGTGTAAGGTTTAGGCAGACATGCAGCATTTAGGCAGCAGAGCTATAAGTGGATCAAATAAGGAAGTGGAGCAAAAGAGAAAGTAGACCCAGCACAACAGTATCCTTTTATTATTAAATTAATCCCGAGTTCTCCTTGATAAACGTTTTAGTAATAAACCTACGAGATATCGTTCTATAACCACCTAGGCTATATAGCTCTTACTACTAACCTTATAAGTCGCCGCGGACGAATAGGCGATATGATAGAGTAGAAGGTTCTTAAATAATACTCTAGTAGTATAGTACCTACGAATATTATATCGAATTTAAGGCGCGATAATCTAGATGTTACGCTTATAATAAAGGATATTTCGAATATAACGTAGGCGGTAAGGCGGAATCGAATTAGAAATAAATCTAAAATTTAGTACTTACTTAAAATTCGTTCCCCCTATTCCTTTATTTATATATTACCTAATTAGGAAAGATTCTTAAAAAAGAGGGATTTTCTCCGGCCTATGAAAAACAACCTAAATCCTTTCCTAATAGTAAGCTAAATCCTAACTCCGACTATCTTATATAACTCTTTTTTCTCTACTCTAAATCCGTCGAATTATAGAAGAAATATCTATTTATTCTACTTCTAGATTCTACCTATAAAACGAACCGATTTAATATACTACTTCTAATTATATATAGGGCAACTAGTAATAATAAGGTTATATAGATTAGTCTTGTTTTTATATCGGGAGAGAAGGAGATAGATTACTATTAGGCGATTAAGTACTATTACGTAGTATATTACGTATAGTACTCTACCGCCGTTATAGTAGAGCTTGTCTAGGCATTAGCCGAGGGGTATACGCGCTAGTCTATATAAACCCGTGCTCCCTCTTACTTAATTCTATAAGCTTTTAACTTAATATAACTACTTCTTTTATAATCTTATTACACTTAACGTGCATGTATAGCGAACCGGCCAAACAAGCGAACCGGCCAAAATTTTCTACACTCGCGATTGAAATTGTAAGAACTCTACCACAACGCCTCTAATTAAAAAACGCTATTCAGAAATTTCTTCCTCAGATACTTCCTCTATAATATTACAGGTGCGCGTATTATGACCAGTCTCTCCGCAGTTGCCACAGCGCCGTGCACGTGATTCTTCCCTCGGCTTCCGACCACTACTTCTCTTTATTTCCTGCATTACCTGCTCACCAACGTCTCTATCATCCTGTAGGTCCTGCGCTTCCTGTTGACTAAGTGATCCTCCTTGCTGTAGGCGTGTTTTTTTAGCTCTACGGCGCTTACTTAGTACTTCATTTGCTTGTCGAAGTCTCTGGTTCTCAGCTTTCAATAGTACTATCTGGTGCATTACTTTTGATGCACCCTTCGTAAACTGGTCAATGGCCTCGTAAATAGGGGTTGGAGAGCTACTTTGGTGGCGTAAAATTCGATCTTTAATAAATGCAGTCTGTGATAAGGCTTCAGTAGGGTTATTTGGTGTCTGGGAAACCCAAGGCTGAGCGGAATACGGGGGGGAGTTTGGAGGCGTTGGCGTCTTTAGCTTAAGATCAAGTGTAGAAATTACACTTTCTGGGTCAAATGGAAGAAGCCCAGCCCCTCGGAACCCTCCTCGGATATTGCTTTCTGTCATTGCAATATTAAATGCGGCGTGGAAGGCAGGAAAGAAATCATCCTTAGTAATATGGATGATCTGAGCCCGCATCATATCTTCAATTTGCTGACCATATGCCCTTTTCAAAGGGCTAAAACAGCCAACGTCGAGTGGCTGGAGTATATGAGAAGAATGAGCAGGCATACAAAGAGTGATAATGTTGTTTTCCTTGCAATATTCCTCAAATTCGTCGGAGTGGTGGCTTTCATGGCCGTCGAGGACTAATAGACGATAACCACCAATAGATTGGGACTTTGTATGCTTCTCAAAATGTCGAATCCAATCCATGCCTTTCTCATTTGTTGTCCAACCATTTTCAGTAATAGCAATCACCCAGTTAGGTGGAAATCCACTGTTTTGGTACCAAGAAGCGAGGTGATCTTTTGCGGCAACAATCACAAACGGTGGAACACACCAGCCTTGGGCATTAACCCCCTGGATTACTGTAACCCATTCCCGATTACCAGGCTGTACTCTTTTTGCTTTTACACGTCCTTCTGAGCTTGTAATAACCATTGCAGTTGAGATAACGCCCATCATAAACCCAGTCTCGTCAAAGTTGTAGATATCTGCATCGTAGATTCCGTACTTCGCTATTGTGTTTCGTACAAGCTCAAACCAGCCACGAATGACTTCTGGATCTTCGCACTTAGCTCTCGGATAGTCGTATTTTCGTTGGAAGCGTGTCTGGAGTTCTGGGCGGCGCTTAACAAAGTTATAAGCCCAACGCGTCCCGACGCGTGGCGCGTCGCGTGCTTCAAGAAGTCGATTTGCTATATCTTCCACTACAGATATCCGCGGAGGAAATCCTTTTGTAGCTAGGTCGAGGATATGTTGAACAAGTACTGATTCCTCTAGCTCGGTCATTTTCCGTGAATTGGCTAAAATATCGCGTCGTGAAGGTATACCAAGCAAACGTCGACCTAGCTTCCGGTGGTCTACAGAATAGGTCCTGGCAGCAGCTCGAGCACGTAAATTTGGGTCTTTTTGCATAGCTTGGATAGCTAAGACTAACCGGCTTTCGTCATTTTTCAGAGGCATCCTTCGTTGTAGAGAAATTTAATATTTCGTGGAGGTGTGGTGGGGTCGCCGGGTTTTGGCCGGTTCGCTTGTTTGGCCTAAGTACTCCTTTACCTAGAGTCGAGTTTTATAAATTTAAAGAGAATATAATAGCTACTATAATTAAGCTCTTCTAGTAATAGGTTAGGTCTATCTTATACTTAGGGATAATAATTAGAGTAGATATTACTTTTACCTACTTACTACTTTTATATTTTGTAACTAATCTATTTCTAATCTATATCTTTTTACTTATTAATTATTAAAAACTTATAACTATTATAATAATAATTAGTACTTTTTATTTATATTATTAGCCTAGGGAACATACCCTAAGGGGTAGTTACGCTCTCTAATCTAAGTCCTTGTCCTTTAATAAAAGAATACTACTAGAGTTATAATTAAGGGCTATATATAGCTTAAAGAAGACTTATTTCTTTATTTAGGCTTTCTTTATATAAATACCTGTTTCTTTATACTTTTACTAACTTAAGTAGTTAGTACTTAACTACTACGGTTTTTATAATAGCTTCGAATAAGCTATTAGTTATTACTATTCTTATAATAGCTTTAAAGTTATTTATAGAGGAATTGTGACGGTTATGGTCACGAGGGCTGGATGTCACATGCTCGCTTAGCGAGGCGCTAGCGCGCACGACCTGTATTTAGTTCCCAGCTCTCTCGAGCTCTCCTTCTTTCCTCGTCTTTTGTCCTAAGAATAGAGTGTTAATTGTTCTGAGTTCTACCTGAAGCACGTCTGTCACACATCCAGGTTTCTTATAGCAAATAGGGATCGTTTGGAGTAGCTAAGCGATCCAGGGATTTCTCTGTATTGTTATCACGTGATATTAGGAGTTCGCCAGTTAGCCGGGCGAACAGGCGAAGTTAGCCAGTTCGATTGTCGAACGAGCGAACATCGAGAGAACGAAGGTTCTATATAAGACTGGCACGTCTGACATTAGATAGGAGCTTCGTGCTCAACTTAGTTATCAACTTAGTTATCAATCTTATCATATTAATTTGATATCTTTGATACAAGTAACGAGTTCACTTCCAAGTGAACAACCCGATAGTCTTCTTCTTATCATAGCATACCAACCAGCGAACACCCAGCCAAGTTTAGTTAGCCAGTTTGAGTATTCGTTACAACTAGTTCCTACTACTTTATTCGACCCTACTAAACTATAGTTAATATTACTACGAAGTTATACTCTCGAAGCTTATAATAATAATAATTTTAACGATTTTATAACGTAACTCTACTAAGGATTAGCTTACTAAGTCTAATCCTACTACCTTTACTAAGTCTACTCCTACTACCTTTACTAAGTCTACTCTTACTACCTTCGCCGAGTCTACTTCTACTACCTTCGCTAAGTCTACCTCTACTAAGTACTCCTACTCGCTCTTAATACTACTCCTAGCTTGTTTTACTCTCTTCTCCTATTCCACGTATATAAACGTAAAGATTACTCGAGGATAATAATAAGATTATTCCTATCGCCGATACCTAGAACTCCTTTTAAGTAGGATCTATAGTATCTATAGCGTTATACGTAAGATACTAACGCTAAGAAGGACGAATTAGAGTTAGATACGTATTACGATTTATTAGATAGCTAAAGGTAGTTTAGTTAATAAAGCCAAATAAGTTTCTATAATACTAAAAAGTTATAACTTATATGAATATAGTAAATTTTAGTAGCGACGGCAAGGTAGTAACGACAAGGTAGTAGTCACGATAATTAGTATTATAATATTACGAGTTATTAAGGATACCTAGGCACACACCGTAAAGTGGCTGGGGAGCCCGGTCACTTCGATGCCGTTTAGCAAAAGTTCGATGCCGTATAGCAATGGGCATAAAATATCCCTCTCATGTTGTAAAGCCGTACTAAACTGATGAGAATGGACGGCGGGGGCTAGGAATAAGCGAGACGCACGACTATGGAGTAAAATATTTCCCTGCTTCTATCCCCCCTCCGCCACTCTCTCTATTTTCTAAACTTCAAACTAGGGTAGAACCCTTATACAATAGTAAGAATACGGCAACCATAAGGATGCGGCGGTAATAGTAGGCAATAGTAAGGGTAGCAGGTATATACGTAAAAATGCCTAGGCACGTGAAGCTAAGAGTGAGGGTGTCGAGGTATAGGCATTGTAGTAATGGCAAATATATAGCTTTTAGGGTATGGTACTTACGATTCAGTCATTTCCTACCTAAGTGTACAATCAGGATGCAGTACGTATCTATATATACTATATAAAAAGTTATTATATCAAACTTCTAGCACAAGTAAAACAATTATCTTAGGATACCTAGGCTAATAAAAAGTAAGAGTTACAATGATCTAAACTCTCTGTATGAATATTTTAGTTGTACAAGGCAATTGGGATAATGTCATTCTACGAGAGGTGTATATAGAGCAATGACCACGCCTCTTAAATTCCCTGGCTAGCCTTTCATAGCCTGGAAGACCTCAACCTTTGCGATTGCTTCCGCCGATGAATTTTCGTGATCCTCCCTACCATTGTTAATATAATCTTCCTCATCTGCCCTGACATCCTCTTCACCTTTATCATCGTTCTCATATAGTTCTCTTCTAAATCTAGATTCTCAACCCTGTATTATGTTACGAACAACTCCTGTTGATAATCGATGCCGACTCCTAAAAAACTCTAACATAATCAGTGATTTTTGATGGTGCTTTTGAACATAGGTTAAAGTATATAGGAAGACTTGTAAAGTTATCTGTATTCATTTACCTTGTATAAGTTAAGTAAAACATATATATAAATGATTGGTAACTTATAATCATCTAGGTATACTAATAAGACATCAATCACACTCTCTGTTCCTCTAATGCTCACGATAATATACGTGGTCAATACACTGTAGATACCTTGCTAAAAATAGTATTATTCCAAAAGCCTCGTACATCTAATAATTATAAAACACTTATATAAGTAGGTTAAAATAATTATTCAATTAACCCTTTTATTAACCCACGTATACTAGGGCGGTTAATTTAATTGTGCTATAGGTTCCATATAATAGAGACGTTACAGTGTATAAGGTTGCAGAGTAATAATGAGGTCTTTTACTTGTTCTTAGCTAAACAAATAGAAGAAAAACACCTTGACAATAGTATTCCACGCTCACTCCATTCCTAATATCCCCCTGTAAGTCTCATCCCCGAGACATGAACGGGTCGCAGTGTTTCTTCAACATTACTCTGTTAATTGTGAAACCTGGTCATCAAAATCATTGCTGTCGTCATCTCCATCGTCTCCATCGTCTCCATCGTCTCCATCGTCTCCATCGTCTCCATCGTCTCCATCGTCTCCATCGTCTCCATCGTCTCCATCGTCTCCATCGTCTCCATCGTCTCCATCGTCTCCATCTTCTCCATCTTCTTCATCGTCTCCAGAATCTCCAGAGTCTCCATCATTCCAGTAATCGTAGTGCCAGTTATCCCGCCCCCATGGACCAAATTCCGGCTCCTCGACTTCCCACTACTACAAATTAGCATATACAATTCTGATTGAGTTCTTAGTTGGGGCGGGGAAAGAAAATGAAGTGACTCCAATTATCATTTTTTGAAAAGCGGTGTTGAAAGGTAGAACAGCGTAACAAGTAAAGAGGTTTGCTCACATTAATGTGCTCGATGAGGTGCATATCTTCAGGACCAAGAATCACTCCAAATTCTTGCCGCATGTCGAACTTGAAGAGCTGCTTCCGAGCTGCTCTAATCTCCAAGTACTGCTCGTCGAATAGATCGATAGCATTTTGATACCACTTAACAAAGTCGCGCAGGTCTGCTGCCTCGAAGGCTCGAATCACACGCTCGACTTGGAAGTTTGGTTCCATCATGCCATACAGGCTACTGAAATTATAGTCTAAAGAGCGACATTGCATCTTCGTTTCAAGAGGCATATCTCGCTTAAAGGAAGTGGCGTATTTCTCAAGCAATACCATTGCTGTGAGAACAGCTGATTGCGTATCTCCGCTCAGATATACTGGTAAATGTCTCGTATTTGGGTCAAATAAGCCATATGTTGACTTTTGAGTCAGAACAAAATTTGACAAATCACCAGCCGCCTTAGTGATTCTTTGGTATTGATTTTCGAGATATTCCAATACCGACTTGCGCAAACCTTTAAAGGCCGACACGTGATTTTTGCCAGCTTCTAACTTTGCTGCCATAAGGTTCTTCTCAACTGGGTGAACGTAGTCTCCGTAGAATGGATTTCCTTTTGCGCACCAGTTTGCATACTCGTCATCGCTACCAATTCCATCTCTCTCGGTATACTCGTCCTCGGTAAGCGCCATCAGTTCCTTGAACGGCCCATATTGCTCGAAAGCCTGGGCATATCGCAGAAGCGGGTGGTACATCTCATATGCAAATTCGATTTTGACGTTGCCCTGCATTGGTTCGACGAGCTGTACCTCGAGAAGCGCTTCTTCTTCCATATGGCTGTGGAACTCTAGTGCATCTTCGTCTTGGTCAACGAAATCCGGAATTTCAAAGATGGTGGCATCCCGAAATCTAACCGTTTCGACATTGCGGACATTGCTCAATGCCTGGAGCATATTCTCCATTGAGATATACTGACTTGCGGGGTCGCCGATGCGAATCATTCCTTTTGGGACAATGGCAATATCCATCGAGCGGGGGGAGCTGTGGGCTATAGCACAACAGAAACGGAAAAGACCTATCGGCTCTGCTTGCGTTCCAACGTTTGCATTGGTGCTTTCGATGTCCACCATGAGTACGACCTTCCAAGATCTTACGGCTTTCATTGCTTTGAGGTTGCCTAAGCTTCCGGCTCCTTTCAATACCCTATGTATATTGGCAAAATCGTTATCGTGATGTTCCAATGCATTGTGGTATCTCGTGACGGGGGAAATGCTATTCTCGTAGTTGTTGACACGGGCACTCAAGAAATCCGGAAGAGGGGCAATGTAAAAGGTGTTTAGACCATACAAGGTACTCGTGCCCTCAAGGTAGGTTTGTCGGCAGACCGCAAGGATGACCGGATGGAGGTCATATTTGGTATCTACTCCATAGTTGTCACTTTCGGTGATGGCAAGGCTAGTCCCTAGGATAGGATTAACGAGCAACATCTCGTAAATTATTGTACGAATGTCGAGAGGTATTCCGAGGAAAGAAGTATTCGGATAGGAGGTAGTCGCCATGTCTGAAGTTCCCGCCAAAGACATTTATGTAGGTGTCTTTGGTTGAATGTTTTGCTGTGAACTCAAGTAATTTAATATGCTTGAGCCAAAGATGTTTGAGATTCTCCGAGTAAATGAACAAGCAAGTATCTGTAAAGTTGCGTTCCCAAGTACAGATGTAGGCTTTGGTATAGGTGTGGATGTAAGTGGTATCCAGATCGGATAGTCATAAAGAGGTTCAAGTGTCCTAGAGCCTGGTTATTTGTAGTTTCCCAATGTACAGGGAGCTCAGGCTATTCCCTCTGTGTTCTGCTACGAAAAGACTGTGAATCTGACTTTGTTTGTTGTAGTTCGCACTCTAACAACACGCCAAAAGACTGATGCTAAACAACCAGACGACTAGGTATTCACGGATATCTAGAGAGGATCGTAGAACTAATGGCAGGATAGTGGCTAGAAAATTTGAAACAGACGAGTTCTACTAGATTATACCGTGTAAAAACAATTTTTGCCCTGAGGAGTTTGCGTTTGTAGTTTTATAGTGTTTCTGGACACTAAGGTGCTGTATATATATATTATGTGAGCAGTATGTGATTAAATCAGCATTCTTATACTTATGAATCCAAACCCTATACTAAGTGAAAAAGCAAACATGTATAAGTTAGTATTATAATTTAAACATATAAAATACTAATTAGATATTTTATTATAAGAATTGAAAGAAGAGAGAGTATAACTAATATAGCTTAGTGATAACTTTAGAGTGTTAATCGCAAAACGGAAATCTACATTAGTTCGCAGGGAGCAAAGGATGTGCTGAATTAACTAATAAAAAATAAATCAGCCCAGGGGGCTGAAGTGGAAGAGGGTCACGTGATCTGAAGATGACGGCAAATTGAAACTCCGATTCGCGTCTTCCTAAACCTACGATCCTTAGGTCCTACACAAGAACGTTTCACTGAGCGTATTTTCTGCTTACGTTTGAAAGGAAACTTCTTCAAATATTTCCAAGCCGAAAGAATTTCACGCTCCTTCCTCCTTATTACCCCGCACTTCACCTCAAATGAGCGCCTGCGTGTGGTGGTTGTTCGACGAATCCGAATCCTTAGCGCCTCTTCAGAAAGTTATCTCATTTTCAGTTTCACTACTCGCCACCAATGAAACCCAGCATCGGTTCCCTTTGCCGTTTCTAGACTACGGATCACAATGGTCAACTGACGTTGCCGCATATATGACCGGAATCACCCAATCGTTGAAATCATTGAGCGCTTACTGACAGATCGCTTTGAACTGTCATGTTTTGCCGCTCTCAGATTGGTGTTCGTAGAGATGCCACGGCACTAATTCTCAAAGTGCATTTCTATTATTGGAGTTGCGAAGCTGAATATGGAGGTCAGCAGTTTTAAAAGGGCAATTTACATGAGCTAACACTGATTCATGTAAGATTGCTTTCACGGAAGTTCTTCAAAGGATAATGTGTACTCATTCTAAGCGAGTCGATCAGGGGGATCCCTCGCGTGACAGACTTCCAACGACATCAAATCACACAGAGTAACTCAGATCAAATCTAATCGATCTCACAATACCAAAAGGACGTTTATGCAGGGTTCTCTTTCGGGGTTTCAGTATCGCTCTCACACCGAATTGTGACAGCATACGCTTGGCGACCCGTTTCATCCCCCTGCAACAATGGCGGGAGCCAACCATGTCTCAGGACCATCGAGAGATTTTTTTGAGCATGGAATTAGTAAAAAGAATAAACACCACGGATATCCCGCCTTTCGAAGTACGATTTGCTTTCTCTTTTTGAGAGTTTTTCTGTTCAACGCGTTAGGTGGAATTTTGAAAATTGAGTACTCAGGTACTTGAGGTTACATGCCCCGCTCTTGAAATCTAGAAATAACAAGGAATATTTTGGAGCCGCAACAAGTGGGAATAAAGGGATAGAGCGCTCCCACCGACGACACGCCTCGCGCCCTTTGAATCTTTTGCTTTTGGGGCACTTTTTCAATCCGACTCGCATGGGTGAAGAACTCATTTCAAGATGGCGACATGGGGTTCCTACTTCGCCTCGTACGTGAAGAAGAAGGAGGATCCTGTAGATAAGACTGAGAAAGTGGAGGAGAAAATAGTCGACACGCCATCACCTGTTAAGGTTCATCTCACCTCTGGGGAGAATCAAATTTTGGAGGAGGCTAACAATTGGTCATAGGTCAATTCTGGAGTTACGCGATCGAATACAACAACGAAAAAGCTATATGGCAGTACTATCGAGTTGACGGAGGAAAAGAGGGTAGATGCGACGCAGCCGATCGGGTCGAATGCTGGGAGGATGGCGAAGATGTTTGGATATGAAAAACCAGCAACAACGATGTCCATGTCACAGGTTGTTAATGACGCGATACAGAAGTCAAAAATTGAGGCACAAGCTGGGCCAAAGGTTGAGGAGACGGTCACGCCTCTACTTATAACATCGATGCCCCAGAGAAAGCCTTCCATGATTTCTGCCGTTTCCCCAAGGACCAAGTCAGATTTTCAAAGTACTATTTTGCCAGCTGTAGATATGTCTCCGCTTCCTACAATAGAGCCTCAAGCCACGGCATTCCCAGGGTTCATAAGAAGAAAATTATTTACTTCAAAAACATCGGTATCACTAGATACCAACCAAGCAGATCAAATCAAAAATAATTCAACCATCACCGGCACTTCGCTGACGGAATCGCCGCTGGAAATGAGATCAACGAGTTTTCGATCATCAAATCAATCATTATCATCCGTATCAAATCTGGATGACGTGATGAAATCATTGCAAGAAACGAAGGCGGAACCGCTGAGGATGAGACTTTCGAAAGAGCGTGCCGCAAAAAACTCGTTGGATAGCCTTATGGCAGACTTGCAGTCGACTCCCGTAGAACCTGCTCCTAGAAGGCGAGGCACGAAGCAATCTATATCTCTCGCTGCTACTCAGAATTCTCTAGATGACATTATGGCCGCGCTCCAAGGCCCAGTTATATCTGTACAAAAGCGGGGATCGCGTCCGAGTGTGGCATCGCAACTGTCCGCTGTGACATCGCCAGAATCACCAGCAGTACAGAGGAAAGCGATCGCTGATGTGATTCGTGATCGCCAATCTTCAACTTCTGCCGTTTCGATAGACAATTCGGTGACGGATGAGGAAGAAAGCGAGGAGTTTGTCGAGAGCAGGGCTTGGGCTCACGCCAGATCAATGTCTCAGTTCAAGATGCAACAAGATCTGATGGAAGAGGAACGGTTGAGGATGGAGGAGGAGCAGCTGAAATTCCAACAACAAGAGAAACAGTTTGCAGAAGAGCAAGAGCAGCAGAGACTTTTCCTTGAAGAAGTTCGGCGAGCGCAGGAACAAGAAGAGTTGGAGGAAGCGGAAAGGGTAAGAATTGCACAGAAAGAGGCCGACAGACTTGCTGAGGAGGAGAGAATTAAACGAGAAATCGAAGAAGAACGAATCGCCAAGGAGGCGAAACTTTTGGCCGAAATAAATGAGAAGGAAGCTCAGGAGAAGAAGAGATTGGCGGACGAGGCACGGAAGCGTGAGCAGGAAGATATGCAAAGGGAGGTGCAGCGATTGATCAAGGAAGAGGAAGACAGGATACGGAGGGAGGAAGGAGGTTTGCCCAGTCCAGTCGACAAAATATTATTCAACAAAGCCGGGAATGATTCAGAAATCGAAAATAACGACGACGATGAAAGTCAGTATTCCGATGAGCTGGTAGAAAGCGAAGATGAAGAAGACGAAGATGCTCAGTTGGAACGGCTAGCAGCTGAGCGGAGAGAATATGAAGCTGAGATGGAAGCAGCGAGGTTACGCGATGAGAAAATCAATGCAGAAAAACCCGAAAAGCAAAGACAACGAGCTGAAAAGGAGAAAGCGTATGAGTTACAATATCAAAGAGAGGCAGAAGAAGAGCGCATTCGCTTGGAAAAAGGACAACCGGGCGGTGGGGACGTGGACGAGGAGGAAGATGAGGCTTTGCTATGTCAGGAAGAGGAACGAAAAAGACAAACACAAAATCATCGCATGGCATTGGACTCAGGAAGCAAGCCTAACCAAATTGCAGACGAGGAGGCACAGCGTCTACTGTACGAGGAAGAGATTGAGCGATTACGACTTGACGAGATAGATGAACAGAGACGCCGTAACGATGAAATTAAACAGGAACGCATACGCTTCAGAAAGGAAGAGGAAGAAAGGGAACGGTACGTTCAACAAGAAGCCGAGCGGGCTCGATATGAGGCCGAGCAACGGGAAGAGGCAGAGCTCCAAAAGATTGCTGCTCGTTTACAAGTCGAGGATGAGGCAGCTGAGAAGGAAGCAGAGTTGAGAAAAGCAGAGGAGAAAATCCGAGCTGCATTCTCTGGTTTGGCCAAGGAACGAGGGGAACTAGCGCCCAGTTTCCCAGAGCCGAAGCAGTCAGGGGGCTTTTTTGGAGGGCGAAGCAGTGGGAGAAGATCTCGTGGAGCTCCTAATGTACCTCCTAGCGCATCTCCCATCAATCGGGCACCACCTGGGAGAAGTAACACTACTGGATTCCCACCACCACAGGCTCGGGAGATCCCAGATGGTCTTGTAAGGGGGAACACAGTTGGCGGAGGATCCGGCCGGCGTAATGATGCCCAGCGACCGCCCCCACCTCGTCCCACGAGAGGAAACGGCAATTCACAGGATAGAAACGACGGCGGCCGATATGAGCCTCCTCCAGGTCTTTTGAGAGGAAACACTGTGGGTGGAAGACCGCCTCCCACGCAGGCACCACCACGACCTGTTGCTAGAGGAAATACCGTTGCTGGAAGGCCACCTCCGCGAGGATTACCAAGTGGTCCAAGAGCTGGAGTTGGACTCCCGTCTGGCCCACGACCCAGACGAACGTAGGGAAGATTGATCTTCCATTTATCATGATGAATTAATAATTGTAATGCCATATACCCATGATCAAGCTCTCATAGCCTCCAACTGCCCATGATGAATTTATGTGTGACTGCCGTATCATAATCATGTTTGAGGACGCGCTATCGAAAACTCCTCATAATCACAACGATCTCTGCCTAAAATCTTTTTAAGTACCTCAGGCTTTCCAACGAATGAAATGATATATGGGCACGGTTGGCTAGAGGTTCTCGGGAGCTCTAGTCCTTCTCGTTTAAATAGCCCTTTATAAATGCTTTGGTAAACACCGTTGTTATCGAAAGATTCGGTTAACCTAGATTCTTTAACTCATATCCATGATCGAATAGTAGAGTAATGATTAGCACATATTATGAGTAATGAATGTCGCTAGAGCTTTATTGAGACTCTTGTAACTAATGAGTGTTTCGAGGTAGGATGCAAGAGAGGCGGGTATTACTCTGTACATGCCCGAGTTATAAAATAATTATCCTAAAGACCTTATACAACTAAATCAATTATAGAAAAGGTTTAGAATAATTAATACTCTTCACTACTTATTAACCTAGGTATAATAGGACAATTAATTACATTTTACTAGACTTTTGGTATAACGACTTTTAATAGCGGTGTGACGGTTCTAACCGTCACCACCATTCGGATCACGTGGTCTCGCTTAGCGACCCACACCAAGTATTTAGATCGAAGCTCTCTCGAGCTCTCCTCTTCTCCTCAGCTTAGAATCTTTGTTTAATTGACAGTTCTACGATTCCACAACCTACACCGTGGGCCTTGCGTACGTGTCGTCACAAGCGGATACAAAGTAATACCCGCCTCTCTTACGAGTATATATATTTAGTAAGTCAGATAACTGTTCCTAGTTATATTTAAAATTTAAGAGAGTAGAGTTCTAAGGGATTTTTAATATATATATCTAAAGAGCTAAATAATCTAACTGCTTTTAGACTATGAATACAGCTTAAATATACGAGTAAAATATACCTATAATTACGAACTCCTACGTCTTATAGTATTATACCTTTACTATTATACTATAGTTATACCTAAGAGTACTCTAAGTCCAGTAAGACTTTCCGCTACTTAAGTACTAAGCTAATAAAATCGTTTCTTCTATTATTCTTTTTCTACTATTAGTAATTTCTTCTTTACATAATTAATTGAATAATTCCTACTATTAAAATAGACTACTATTTATCTATAGTATAAGAGGTATAGTTATTACTCTCTATATAACTCTCTTAGAATAAAATTAGTCTAAGAGCGTCGTATAATTAGAATAGATATATAAAGAGCTTAGCATAATTGTTAACTCTTACTTTTGATTATCCTAGGTATCCTAAGACAATTATTTTGCTTGTACTACAAGTTTAGTATAATAGAATTTTGTATAGTGTGTATAGAGTAACGACCAGGCATATGTATCTTAACCTCCTTGGTGACTCCTGTCCCTTTCTTTGTATGGCCGCACATCTTTGGTTACTCAGTAATACCTAGTATACATAAGTGAATAATTTTACTTGACGACTTGGACGGAACCAAAAACCCCTCTGCCTAGCCGGAACATCTGGTTCCGTCCCTTTCATCCCGCTAAGTGTCGTCTAGTTTGTAAGCATTAAAAACAACCCTTCAATTTTGAGTAAGAATGCGAAATCAAGCGTCAATATAAAATCAAAAAGGGCTAGCTCAAAGAAACAATTTATGTATTTTGCGGGCTGTCATTTTTCGCCATTGAAACCCTTGAGTGGTGCCTTTTTTCCGCAACCACCAAGTCCAATCCCTCCATGCCCCGTGATGTACACAATCCCGAAAACTGTAAAGCCTGTATGCTGAACATCAAGCGTAGCAAGACATCGGATAGATCCCAGAAGATGCCTGACCAATTCCCAGATCCCACTCAGATGGTTCCACCAGCCGAGGACGAACCAGAACCCGGAGAACACAGCAAGCCACCTTCGAACCTCTCATTTCAATTCGTTTTCCTTTTGCATGTTCCGTTAGACCCTATCAAGCCGTTCTATTAATTCCCAAGCGAAGTTTCAATCCCATTTCTTTTTATCCTTTTCACATCATTCCGGCCAGGAAAGACTCCAACCTCTCTCTCATTTGGCTCTTCATCTCCCCAACCACTTTCTGAATCTCATCACGTAGCTGGTTGTCCCAAATGATCTCATGGCTCATGTGACGTTCCTTCCAGGCTTCCAACTCCTTCCTCTTCATTTTCTCTGGTGGTGTGGTCACCAGACGTCTGCAACCATCATTTACGCGATGAAGATTGTAGTCCAACTTCGCCGCTCCCTCGTCAAGTGGCGCCAACAAACCTGCCATGATTGTGCTTTCATTACCCTTGACGACGAGGTTAGTTGGCCTGCAATTGCGCATCATCGCGTTTTCCTTGTCCTTGTCTCTGAGCTTCGAGCGAACTTCTTCAAGGGACTCGCGAAGGCCATGTATCTCCCGTTCTTGCTCAGAGATGATCGATTGCGAGTTCGAAGGAGGTCGAGTGTGGGGGCCTCCACCACCACCGCCATGCATCTGGCCCATTGGGTAGCCTGGGTAGCTTTGGTTCATGTGTGCCATCGACTTTGAGTGATTCAAGTTCTGGGGGCTGGTAGGAGTACGTCTTCCCGCTGGTCCTCCGTTCATATTCATTGGTCCTCCACCCGGGCCGCGATAGCGTTTCTGACACTCCAGACATGCACCAGTCATCTTGATGGCCGCAGGTTGGTGTTTGAATCTTTGCCGATCTCTGCATTCATCCCTGGGGTTCTGGCAAGGCTTGGTGATTCGAAGAGCCTTGTGCTCACAATTCTCGTAAGTCGTAATTTCTCCGCTGCACATGTTGGATGATCTATTTATCGTTTTTGATGGTGGCTGTAAACTGGATATCACCTGGCTCAAGAGCAGTGACGAACGAATGTTATGCCAAGGTTATTGTCGTTGCAAGGGAACTATCACGAGTAAGAAAATTGCCTCGACAGAAAGCGATATCTCACTTACCAAGACTACAAAGGAGAATTGAGCCTTCTCGTAAAGGATCCGAAGAGCATGAGACTCGAAGCTTGATTGTTGAGAGATTGCGCGATGCAGCGATTCATTGAGGTTGAAGGAGCAAGAAGAGCGCATCAGGTGGGGTTGTGAAGGAGGCGTGTACTAACGGAACGCGTTTCAAAGCTAAGTACCAATAGAGTGGATCTCAAACATGTCCTTAGACATAAAGACAAAGGTGAATCGACCCAAAGAAGGTGTCTTCTCTCATGTGGTATGAGGGATTTAAATTGGGTTCTTTTCTTATCGCAGTGGGGTAAGTTAAGCGAGTCTTGAATAGGGGAAGGTAGAGCCGGTTTTGCGGTATCTCCTATGAACAAAGGAAGAGTAGCCGATGACCATATTGGTTAGGGCAGAAATAATGCAAGGATCGTACGATGTAAGGATGCCTATTCAGGAAACGCTGCTTTTTGCAAAACAAACACAACCTTAATTTCTTTGCTCAAGAAAGAAGACTGAAGAACATCGAAGAACATGGAAGACCATGGATATCTATGTCAAAATTAGCTGGCTAGTAATTAGCGTAGTGGTACATAGAAACATAGAAAGAAAAAAAGGCTTACCACAGACAGCCAACCTTACTCCATAGGATGTGGGTCTGGGTCAACCACCCTCAGGTCTGCTGGGTGGCTCCCAGGTAGATATGGAGCTTTCATGGAATCGTGTTTAGGTGCAGAAATTGAAAGCCAATGATGTGATTAACGCACAGGATGGACAAATCCGTTTTATGAGGTGAATATGAAGCCTCTTTAGACCATTGTAAGCCTCTGGAACCTCAAGGTTGTAGTAGCAGTCAGCAGATTGTTTATGATATGTTGCAGTATATTTGCTATTCACTCACTTCCCCATACCATGGAACCAGTGGCACAAGTGGCACTAGCATTACAAATGGATATTTGGTGCCCACCTGTACCTTATTTTTACAAATTGAAGAGTTCTTCCCTTTCTTTGGCAACATGATATAGTACGAGTAGTTTCCTGCCCCTGTGTGCGATGAGATAGCAACAAGGTAATGGAAAAATAAGTGCGTCGTGGTTTTTTTTCTTCTTGTTTCTGTTTTTTGAATAGCTCAGCGATTTGATGCCATTTTTATTCTCTATGCAAGCACTAGTTGTTACAAGTAGCCTTGGCCTCTGGATATCCTTGGAACGTTGTTCACTCAACTGATATCTACTGACAGCCAATGAAGGTATAAAAGGGTGTCCTTATGTTGGACCTTTGTGCATAATCATTTCTTATTATTGATCCTGTTATAGGTCTACGCTGGACAAAAAGAAGACCTCTTATCAAATCCATCTCTGTCTATCCCTAAAATGAAATACAACCAAGACCCAAGATGAGTATCTCCGCTATGGTCAACCATCTAATCTATTCAATTCTCTCTTCTCTAGAGGAACCATCAATCAGAGAATCCTCTTCGGCCGCCTTACCTTGCGCTCCTCTGTAGAGCCAGTAATGCTGGATCATGAAAATAATGTCGAAAAACACGCTGATGTTTCCAAGACCTAACTTGACTGGGTTCCCAGTTATGCCAGACCAGTCGCCTTGTAAGTAACTATCGATGCACAGCTGCGTGATGGAGAGGATTCCACCAATGAAGTCGAGGAGGATTTGGGATATGGACCAACCAGTGGTACTTTGGTTTCGGTAATTCGTGGTAACTTGGGGCATGTATTTGACGAGTGTAACAAACAACTTGACGTAGGAAGTTGCGTAAATCTGAGAAGAACCAATTTAGCTGGAAGTCTGCATTCCTTGATTGTGTGACTTACCACATCAATCCATGCCCAACCTGTTGCAGGGTTCTGGTCGTTTCGTACCACAACGATAAAGGCAGTGGTTGCGACCCCCAAGATACTTCCCACAATTATCCCTTGTATCCCTTTGCTAACTCGAACTCCCGGCTCTCTTCTGCCTCTCTTCTCGAACCTCCAAAGTGCTGGCCAAAATTGAGAGAGGGTGATTATGCTGGTAACAACGGCATGGGCCGCAAACGCTAAATCGTTGAGCTGGACCGTTGGGGTAAGGCCATGATTTCTCTGGGCATATTCATTGTGTATCTGCGGGGACCAGAGAAATGCGGCATTGAAGACAAAGTATGCAAGGAACCCGACAACACTATGGAGTATATAAAAGTCAGCGTATTTATCTCTGAGTGGTACTGAAGAGTATCAGAACAGATAAGGAGTAAGAGACCGCTTCGGAAGAAGTAAAGTCTCAAACTCCTCAGATTGGTCTAAACAGAGGGTATCGAAACGGAAAACACCCACTTAATGGCAGGGAAATCTATTGTTGTTCCAGATGTGGAAGAGCGGCGCCAGTTCAAGATCGGTTGTGGATAGAATGATAATGACCAGCAGAGAGTGTAGACCCAACCAAAGAGAGCTGAAATAAACTCAAGAAAGGGGATGGAAGCTGCCATCTTTGGCAGCTATATTTCATAACATGTCAGACTGGCAGATGTTGTGAGAAGAATTGTCTTGTGAAGCGATGGTGTTGACTTTAGGTTAGATTTCGTCAGAGGTACCAACAAGGGTCCGAATGTGGCGGTGTGTGGGGGTCCGTGGCTGGTGCTGTTTCAAGAAGCCGACACCCGCCGACATGCTTTCTGGGCTATCAAACTGTAAGCCCATTAAGAGGTTCACTGTCTCAACCCCAATCTGCGATTCCAACTTCCATTGTTTTGTTCCTCTTAAGCGAACGGACAAGACAATACTTGTTGCTTTTTTGACCAGGATATTAGGAAAAAGTTCTATGAGACATAAAGTACCACTGTGCTGTTTGCTTCAATCCTCTCCAGTCCAAACCACAAAGAACTCACTCGAACTCGATAAGAAATGTCGAACAAAATGGACTTCCTCGACCTGCCAGGAGAAATCAGAAACCAGATATACACCGTTCTTCTTGTCTTACCATTAAATACAAGCGGCAAATTCGTTCCCGTCCCTACCAACGAGCCCAGCATATATCCCCAAATTCTGGCAGTCTGCAAATCCATTCATCACGAAGCCAAACAGATCTTATATGGAAAGAACATCTTTTACGCTCATGCTCAACTTCTTACCGGCTTACCACTTCTTCGGCAATGGTGGAGTTCTTCCTGTACAGTGAGGAGTCCCGAGATGATTTCCATGATCCGTCGTTACCGACTTCGTGTGAGATTGGACTGTGATCCGCGCTTCTCGGCACAGCAGGCCGAGGAATCGTTCACGGGAAGCGAGGAGTTCTATCTTGAGGCTATACAAGCTCAATATGGGGGGTCCGATTATTCTGTGTTGAAGTTATTTGAAGGGGTTCGAGGTGTGACGCGTGCTACGGTTATTGGAGGCGTTGGAACATTTCCCGAGTATGCTGCGTGGTTGCAGAAATCTATGATGGCACCCATCGGGTCCGAGTTTGAAGCTTTTGAATCTCCAATTGGAGAGGAATTTGAAAAATGAGAATTTGAAGCAGCAACTGCTGATCCCATGAAAGCTTATTGCGTCTATTCTAGCACCAGGAGGTGTAAGAATTCGTAATTGAAGGAGACCCGACCATTATTCTGGAGAATCAATTGTGCTAGAGTTCCTTATACAATCAACTTAATTGGTCCAGATCACTTAGCATAAGAGGAATACATTCGCTCACGCAACTATTTTAGTTATGCGAGGCTTTTAGGTTAATATTGTTCTAAAAGAGGTGTGTAAGATACCTGGTCGTTACTCTTTACTCTGTACACACTATATAAAACTCTATTATACTAAACTTGTAGTATATGCAAGATATTGTCTTAGGATACCTAGGGCAGTGAAGAGTAAGAGTTAACAATTATTCAAGCTCTTTATATAATTATTTTAGTTGGGCGATGTTTTTGGAATAATATTATTTTAAGAGAGGTGTGTACACAGTAATGACCATGTCTCTTACTAAGTTTCTGTCTATGCCTGTAGCAGGGTACGCTAATACCAACAGCGCGATGGAAGCGGGGGAGATCATTTTGATAAATAGAATATACTACAGCAGAGTCTTCCCAACTCCTTCCCCATTCAAACGGATATCTCGGTAAAACCAATGAAAAATCAACGGCCATAAATGCCAAACTACCAAAAGCAAGAAAACATATAAGAAACAATGTGATCTCATCCAAAAACCGCCACCAAAACTCAATGCACAAAAATGCGATGAATCCGATACCACATAGCCCCCACAAACTTAAAAGCACTCAACCCAGCCACACTCCACAAAATAACAAACAAATAAGTCTTCTCTACACTCGCAGCAAAATTATCGCCCTTCGAAACTCTCAACCTACTCAATCCCCCCGTCCCAAGAACAACAGCCACAAGCGCCGCATTACAAAACATCCAACACAAAACCACATAACTCCTGAACGCTCGGTTGAAACCTTCCTCTTCATCTTTGGCGTTGATCTTGACGGGTTCGGGTTGTGTAGGGGCGGAGAAGGAGGTTAGTGCGGAGGCATAGAGATCATCCAGGTCGGTGTTATTCAATCCGGGTTCTTCGGTTTTTTCGCCCGTCTTGGCGTCGACTTTGGCGTTTGGGAGAGTGGGTTTCTCGTCTGGTCTTGTGCCCCAGGATACATCGTGCGTATTGCAAAATGCGTAGACATTTATGACATTGGTGTAAGTAGGGGTGAGAAGCATGTATTGTAAGGAGGATGTAACAATGTGCCAAGGATCGAGGAATACGATGGATATGAAAATCCATAAAACGTAGGTTGAAAGGAGGGAGACAATGAGGGTGAAGAAGATTGAGTTTTGGACTAGGTCAGATATTGTGAATTTGCCGTCTGCGACTTCCTCTTTGACGGATCTGTACGTTATAAAAACGGAGGCGAACAGTAGATAGCTAGGTATGTCAGGATTGATAACTTTGGAATATGAAGCAAACTTACAGCATAATAACTCCCCAGACGTAGACCATGAATTTGTAAAATCTCCTCGATCCATCTGGTGTATTTCCTAACGACAAAACAAAGCAGGTAACAATCGAGGCAAGATAAATCCACTCAGTAACCACTGACAAAATCCCACCGACCTTTCCTAAGAGTTTCTCATCACTCAGTGCCACAGTAAGAATTCGAAAGACGAGGAAGAAGTTCCCCACGGCGAACCAGGAGAAAATCATGCTAATAGCTTGGTACGCAAATTCAATCATAAACATTATTTTCCGGCTCATAGAATGCGAACTTCTGAAGATCTGGTAGAAGTGAGCCAAAGCATATACAGCAGCAAAAAAGGAACCATTCAGCCAACGTCTTCGCTGTTTGATTAACACTGCCATCTCTTCTGGCACGTCCGTCTCGCCTGTGGCTGACGAGACGTATGTCAAAACCCAAGAGGATTTTCGCTTCGCAACTAGTTCAAAGCACAAAATGCGATCTTCAGCTAGATACATATTTTTCGTGAAGATGCCTGCATCATGATGATGCTTCTCGCCAGCAAAATATTTCTCAAGCGGACCTTCACGTTTATCGTTTTGCAGAGCAAGAAAGCGATATGCAGAGAAAGCTCCGGGCAACACGGAGATGAATCCGAAGGCTGATTCCATGGGTTTGTCCAGAATGTTGCTCATCTTGTACTCGAAATTCTGTGTGGCAACGAGAGGATTCAACAATTTCTTGCCACCGTCAAGCATAGCCTTGATTTCACCACAGGCCCCGGCGCATTTGGGATCGAGTTCGAAGGCTCTCCAAAGCTGGTATATAGACTGTTTCCCTGGTCTCGTTCCCGCGTCAAGCAAGACCACTACAGTAGGCTGAAGTGCTTCCCCAAAGGCTTGAAGTGCCCATCGATGACTGTTGATTTTCTTTTGATTTTCTTCCTTTAGGCAGAATAGAAGTTGAACGGGAATTTCAGAACCTGGCTTTGTTTCAACAACATCCCTCTTGACTTGAAGATCCACTTTTGTAGTATACTCATATATATGAGCCGTAACCGACTTATCGTTCACCTTTTGTCTTGCAACACCATGCTGATAGGCTCCAAGGGCACTTAGGACACTCCTGGTGCGGGGATTGATTTTCGCACGTCCGTCACTAACGATACAAACCACAATATTCTTCCATCCGTTATTGTCCCATAAACCCTTATGCTGGCCAGCGAGAGAACACATGTATTGGACATTTTGGAAGACTCCTGCCATAGTCCTAGCGAAGAGAACGTCGTCTTCATTATACATTGTCACAACAATTAAAATTTCCGTTCTTCTGGGTTTTCCAAACAATTGTTGACGAAGAGTAAACCCTTCTCCTACAAAATCTTCGGGATCGCAAGTCGCTGCAGTATACCTCATATGTGTGAACTCATCCCTTCCTACTTCAGAAACATGCTTGGATTGACTGAGTAGCTTTGGTGGTACTGGACAGTCGTAAACCAAATGTTCCATCCTCGCTTGTGGTATTTGATCGGTTGAGACAATCCCGGAATTTATGCTGATTCCTGTGCTTGAGGCATGGAGACTCGGACGTTGGTGGAACGAAGCTTGTGAGGTTTCATGATGAAGGGGTATATGAGGTTCTTCGTCTGGGTGAACGGGGTCGTAGATTGTCTGTCGCCCGCTGAGGGGTCTAGAGAGGAGGGGGATATCTTGGGGGGCTGTTTCATATTGCTGGTGATAAGAATGCCGCTGGTGTTCTAGGGGATCAAAGGCATATTCGTGAGGATGATCATAGTGGGGATCGTACTGAGGATCATGTGGCCCATCACCATAGTTATCGTGCGATTCCAAATCAGTGGTAGGGTAATGATATGGTTCATGCAGATTGGCATCTGGAATACGGGGCATCTAATCATGTCAGCCATTCTTTCTCATCTTTCTTGTTGCGGTTTTATACATACCCGGACATTACGTCTTCCAAGATTTCCTGAAGAAGTCCTTCGATCGTGGTGCTGCGTCGGGTCCATTTCTAGGGTGCTTCTGCAATCGAAAGGGAAAAAATAGATTTTTTTTCTGAGAGGAAACAGAAAAGAGGGAATGAGGAAGCCACAGAAACTCGGATTGCAAAACTACTACCACCACAATGCCGACATCTCACTTGGATGGGCTGAATATAATCTGTCAAATATCAGGCTACTTGTACCTGACTGTACCAAAAGTTTATGCGGCTGAAGAGAGGCGTTTTCTGGGTTCATCAGCCCCCTTCGCGCCAATCTGTTTGTAGCGCATTTGGAAAAGAAACGAACGCCACAAATCTTTGGCTGCGATGAATTGACTGGCTGAAGCAAGACACTCGTGTATCATCGGATGCAAAGGAAATTCCAGGCTGTGTGGCATAGCCAACATGCATCGGCCGCGGCATATCCATTTAAGATGTCAAAATATTGCGCTGTGAACATTTTAGAGCAAAGGAATGTATGTAAATGCACAGAGGTTACGTCCAAGATGCGATTTGGGAAACGCTGACTAAGGGTTAGCGAGAACGATGGGGATTGGTCAACAATAAAAAATCAATACCAATTTGGACATCGTGGTTGTTTTCCCATCATGTCACGATATTATATACGACCATTTACACTGATCAGGTTCAAGAGTAGCCTTATTTTCTAGACCTTGCTCTAGCCTCTGTCTTCGCTTCGCTTTTAACCCGCGAGCCCAGCCTGCTAGCCTGGTCGACCGATTACGGCCCGGGAATTCCCTCTCTCACCGATGTCACGTTTTTTCTGGATTAGAGTTTCTTCATGTTTGATGCTCAGCAACTTCCAGCTATGGAATGCCTCGAATACAGTATTATCTTTGATGCCTTCAGACGGAAATGCGAATATTATTTGTATTTGAAGTCACGGGTCACTCATGAATTTAGGTTTTCGTTTCAAGGTCAGTTTTGAGAGGAGTACACAAGCGCTAATCCTAAACATCCACCAATGCCTTGGATATAACAACCCCTTCCTTATAATTATTCCCTTCTGAAGTTCCACATTCCAGTAGGGCAGGCACGCAATACATATTGGGCACAACTCGTTCTCTCATCAACCTTTCCTCATCGGACTTGGTAGTCTCATATCCCGTCATCCACAAAGAGTCGAAAGACAGGGGATTTCTATTCTTTCTTGGAGGCCATTGTATCTGAAACTTTGCTTTCTGCTGCCAGAGAAACTGGTCAAGATTCACGGCTGCTTTGACAATGCTTTGAAGGTTATCCACGCCTTTGTTGTGCTCGTTGTCGCCAAAGATGTTTTTATCGTCAGTACAGGTTTTGAGATCAGTAGAGATCTTTTTTCTGATTTCTTTGATTCTTCTTTCGACGCAGGGCTTGTGGATTTCGGTGCTCTTGGCATATGTTCTCGCCGTTAGAGATCGCCAGTGATGATGCTGGATTTGACTGTAGTCATCTGTTACAGTAGCTGTATTGACATGTCAGCGTCATGTACCCTAATTTTCCAAGCGGGATACATTATTACTTTTTGATATCAGGAACAAATCATCAAAAGCTCTGTATGTTGTACACCACCTTCCAGCACCAGCACCTTCGCAAGGCCCACCAGCCCACACCAGATTTTCGAATAGCTCTTCTATTAGCTTTCTCTAAATAAAGCTTTGGATAAGCAGCGACTGCTCTTTTCCGTCGGCGTTCAGATACTGCCGATAGTCAGGTGTGACTATCCGGAAAAAGGTGTACTCTGGATCTGGTGGATTCACAAAGTTCTTGAGGGTCTGCGCAATTCCAGACCTTTGACCCAATTGCTGGAAATTCTTACTCCATCACCGAATATCGCTTCGCAGTCCGTCTATTTCTCTGGCAATGATTTGGTCTCCCTTCCTGAAAGGGTCTACAATGTGCCGCGAGGAAAGTTCTGCAGTCGATTCGTCGTAGCGCTTCTGGGTCTCGTGCAGAAGTCTCCGACTCTCTATAAGCTCTGCTGCCATTTGCTCAACATCGCCAACAATAACATCATATTCTCGTTCCCCGTTACGATTCTTTTCCTCTTTAGAGGTCGCAGCAGCTGGATGCTCTCCTGCTTCCAAGCGAGAGGCTGCAATATTTCCAGGGCTTTGACTTCGAATTTGGTCGCCTTCGTTTCTGAGCATCCTTTCTTCGTTTGAGTAGATGTGTTCAGTTTCTCCAATCGCCCCTCGACTTCGAGGTGGAAGTGGTGGCTGGCTTTGTTGAGACGAATTCTGCTTCAAACTACCAGTTCTGGACAGCCGTCGTGGGTTTGGATCGCGGTGGTGGCTAGACGGTGGCTGTTTCCTTGACATTACTGGGTGGTTTGGTAGTGGTTTGTCTCCCATTCCGTCCCGATTGTTTGGCATTTTTGGGGGTGTGGAAGCTTCATGAGAAAGCTCCTGCTATGGTGAACTCGACACTGTTTAACCCACCCCGCTGCTCAAGACTACCAAAAATAAAGCACCACTATCGAATCTTTTCGATGGTGACAAGGGTAGAGATAAGCTGCATGATGGCGTTCCTTTTTTGTGATTCGGGATGCATATGCTAATTTGGGGTTTCAGCTGACCCTCCTTCAATATTATGGAAAGCCTCAACAAGGCCTTGATCAAGCACACCAGAAAAAAAACGCAAGGCTGAATAAATCCGCGCAACCGATTTCTTTCCTTGAGACCAGACCACAAAGATTAATTTATACGAGTATTATGTTTCCATTTTGTTTATCAACCTAAATAAGGAATGTAACAAGTGTCAAGGTAATTGAACACACAGCAGCAAGACCTTGAGCCGCCGATTTCCGTATTTTCTCGTGCCCTCCTTGAGTTTGCTCATCCTGTTCTGAACTTCTAATCCAGGTTTTTATTTGATGGTCTCCTTATCCTCCATCCTCTTCTTCAAACCTGCCGCATTTCTTCTAACCGACTGCTTCGCTTGTAATCGCTTGTTGGCATCCTTCTCCGTCTGGATCTCAATGTCCAACTCCTTCAACCGCTTTCGAAACTTTTCTTCATCGATGCCGATCTTTGGTTCTAGGAATGCACCTGCTTCAGTCTGATTTAGTGACATTCTCTGGTCGACTAATTGTTCCTGCACCTTGAGAACTACGGGTTTCTTCCCCAACAGCTGCGAGACAATGCCCTGAGCAGAATCTGTCGTTCCTTCAAATCTCGTAGCGGAGGAACCTTTTCTTCTCATTTCCCCCCAGTACTCGTCTCGCAGCTCACTGTCGCGATCATTGGCTTCCTCAAAATCCACAACCTTCTGCAACATCGTCGTTGCAAGCACAACGTGTGGTAAAGCCTCTTCCCCTACCAGTTTCTGAAAGAAATCTAAGGTTCGGACTTCAGAGCCAGCCATCCGATTGTCGGTGATTCTACGGAGGTAGATTATTCCTTTCAAGTTGAAACCAATGATGCAGATTGCAGAGAGCTGTTCGCTGATCTCCTTCAAAATCATCAAAACCAGGACAGTCCATAATCGCGAATTCAGTATTTCCGATGTTGGTTGCGACGATTTGACAAGTTTCTGTGCCTGGTGCGTATTGTGAGTCTATCTCTACTATCGTGGGAATTTACCTACATGAAGCCAAATTATGTCCTTCAGCCAAGCCTTGCCCTGTGAGTTGGTTGATGAAGTACGTTTTTCCGGCCCCAGTCAATCCCATGACCGACACCAGGTCCATTCCATGTCCTTCCCATTCTTCTGTTGCCATCTCGTCGAATTTCCCGGGTCGTGTCTGATGAATGAACCTTCTTGTGTTAAGCGCACTTGGAAACGAAAAGGTTCTTCTCTGTGAATCTTGCGGCACAGTTTAAGCATAATGTAAGCTTTCCACATTGAGCCTCATTCATTTATAATCAATTCCAGCTGACCACCCCCTTGTAGCAAGTTCATGCGGCACGATAAGCCAGGATTTGTCGATTCCGAACGAGGCTAGCGCTTACAGTAGATCTGTTACAGTACAGCCAGCCAAATTTCAACCCAGAAAGTTATACAAAGCAATTGATTACCAGCACAACTAAAGTTCATGCAAGAGAAAACTCATATAGAATGTCGAAAATTGCGGTTGATAATATGACTTTTAAAGTTGTTCTTACGCTACCGGCTAATTGGGATCATCCGGCTCAGGAGTTGACAAGACAGGCTGCTGAGAAAGCTGGAATTAAGAAACCGCGATTTCGGGGTCCTACTACGTTCAAAACTATGTCTGAGCCGGAGGCTGCTGCTTTGGCCGCATGGAAGGAGGCTTTAATGAGATGGAGACCGGATTTAAAGGTAGCGCATACTCATGTTTGTGGGCGATATTATCAAGTGCTAATCAATTCTTCTAGCTGGGTGATAGTTTTGTGGTTTGTGATGCTGGTGATGGGACAGTGGTAAGTTCAGCACCTTTTATTTTCCCCCCAAAATGCTTTACTCTTTTCATTCAGGATTTAATCAGCTATACGGTAAAATCTCTCGAGCCTGCACTCAAACTGGAGATGTGCGTTGAAGCAACAGGTAGGCATTGGAGTCATCCAAGTACAGTACATCTGCATACTAAATCTTGATTTTAGGCGCCCTTTGTGGAGCGGTATACCTAGATGAACGATTCGAATCTCACATCCCAACCGAAGTCGGGTCTTCAACGTACGACAAACTGAGTGAAGAGGTAAAGGCAAGGGTATTCGAGAACGACTGGGAGTTCAGCGGGAAAAAGAAATATAATGGCCAGGACACCGAGTTCCATGTTGATATTCCGGGGTACAAACCGAAAAGACCGGGGTTTTTCGGGAAGAAACCTAGTAGCACGATTATACTCAAAGGGTTAGTGTCTACTTATAAGCCACGAATGCTTTCAGAGAACTCACTGTCGATAGTGGTCATATGAACGCGATATTTCAGCCGGTCGTTGGGCAGGTGATTGATTTGGTTAGGACACAGGTTCAAGAAGTCCACGAGGAAACACAAAATAGACCAAAGGTAATGAGTTCCTTGTTCATTTTGTGACCATTGTGAACTGATAGATTGTGCAAGGCGGTTCTCCTGGTCGGAGGATTTGGCGAGAACAACTACCTGCTCAAGCAAATCCAAGCAACCTTCAAGGGCATCGATATCCAGCGTCCAACAAACTCGTGAGTCCACCAGCAGCTCCATACCAGGAAATTTCTGACTGAAGTCCATTTTAGTTGGAGTGTGATAAGTCGCGGTGCAGTAATCAAAGGCCTAAGTGTCTCGCCCGAAACCGAGACCGTGACAAACTTCATTTCCAAGCTGAGTTACGGTGTAAAGCACAACTCGTATTTCCGTCCCTATTTCCACGATGAGCGAGATAAATATCGATGTCCACTGAAAGGCGTCGACATGGCTCGCGATCAGTTTACCTGGTATTTAAAACGTGTACGTACAATCCATATATACATTCTCATCAACGCATGCTGAACCATTACCACAGGGAACAAGTGTCAGCAAACTCGATCCAGTCCGTTACCAATGGCTAGTAAGCCTCCGCTCCATCCACGAGCTCGAAAAAGTCCACGGCGAAGTCTGGATCTCGGATCAAAAGACTCCACCTACTCGATTAGACTCAAGTACGTACCGTCTTACCCACCCTCCATCCTCATCACTGGCATCCCCAACTAACGCGAATTCACAGATGCAAAAAGACTCTGTAAGATTAATTGTAACTTTGACTCCGGGATTTTCTACGATCTGGAGGAGAAACAAGTGGCGGATTCGATGGCTAAGTATCGTGAGCTGAGTTATACGCTTAAGATGAAGGTTGCGGCTGGAGAGTTGGAGTGGATTATTTATTGGCAGGATCAGCAGAAGGGGGCTGCGCAGGTTAATGTTGAATATGAATGAATAATTGCTTTAATCAAATTAATCATATGTATAAATCCAACCTTACTGTTCTTTTTCATGTCGAGATGAGTGTAGTGAGGGTCTGGTTGGCTAGCTTTTCGTTTCAGAGCTGAGAGCAGAGACTTACGGAAAGGGTGCACCCAGAGTGTAGTGAAAGTCTGTATTTTTAGTATATCTTACTGGTAAAACAAAGTCATTTGGCTAACTAGGATAGGTGTCCAAGTATTTGAGCCTTCATTTGATCCAATTATCGCATCTACTCATATCCGCTTTGCACATCTTTTTTGTAAGTCTCTGCTCTAGAAGGGATAGTTCTCAGAACTGAAATTAACCCAGCGACTCCACTCCCCACACTTTTGTAAAGGGTCAAGACTCAAGGGAATCCCCTAGCTTAGTCATACTGTACGGTACTTGTCGCCTAAACTCTAGTGCTGAATACCAATGAATAATTCAGGCTTATCACCACGTATAGGAATTATACATAATCTACCTATGAGGCTCTAAAATAAAGTATTTAAACTTTCTACTACTGTTACCTTTCGCCAGCACCCGAGTGGCGTCGATCAAAAGCGGCCCATAAAAGATTAAAAAAAAGCGGAGCAAGATCTCCAGTACTATAACCAACCTCACCTCACCACACCATACCTCTAAATAGATCACCACTTTACATTTCCACAACACTACTAAGCTAATTCATAGAAATAAACAACTGTTCTTCAAAAGTCAACTGAGAAATTTCTGTAATTGTCTTAAACGTATCTTACCTGGTCTCGGTTCCTTCTCTCGGTAAAGTGGGATAGAGATTAGAATGAACTTTGGAACCTCCTGTGGAAAACCCAGCGGCACAATCTCCTCGACGAAAACTACCTCTTAAAGACTCATAGAAGACGACACTAACCAACCTCCTCTCTCCTTCTCCAAACTCATCCCCTCATCCCCTCATCCCCTCATCCCCTCATCCCCTCATCCCCTCGTCCCTCCCTCCCCATCAACCCCCCCCTTCAAAACACGACACCTCAAATCTACGGCCTCAGCATCAGTTTCAACTCAGTCCAACGCGTAACTATGACCCTCCACGAAAAAAGAGATTCCCTACACCTTTATTCCCGTCGACGAGAATACACCAAAGGAGTTTTTGGAAAAGGGAGTCCCATAGGCAAGGTCCCCGTGTTTGTAGACGATGAGGGGATAGTGCTTTGTGGGAGTCGGGCGATTTGTCGGTATGTTTGTTTGAAGTGGAGGGGTGAGGGGGGAGGTTAGTTGGGATGTTAGGGGATGTGGGGAGAGTGGGAAGGAGGGGGGGTATGGGGTTNTGTTTGTTTGAAGTGGAGGGGTGAGGGGGGAGGTTAGTTGGGATGTTAGGGGATGTGGGGAGAGTGGGAAGGAGGGGGGGTATGGGGTTTGAGAGTGTGAGTTTTTTTGTAGGTCATTTTTAATTTTTAGGGGATTTGGGTTAGATGGGCTTGGGAGTTGCTTAGTTGGTGATAAGGGGAATGGGATGAGTGAAGTTGGGAGGTGGACTAGGTGGTTGAGGTTGCTGGAAGTTGGAAGGAAGACAGATCTTGTCAAGTTAATGACTAGAAATCTTCAGACGGAGAGAGGATATTACCAGACAAGATAGATTATAAAGACATCTTGGTTAAGAAAAGGTGTCCAAAAGATGACCAAACAATCGAGACCAGGCCTGTTCAATGGAAGTATGTTACTTCGACCCCCCAACAATGGTAATCGGAATCGAGCGCGTCATCAAATCGTTCGTATCCTCCCCCTCCCCCTTCCCTATCCCCCCTCCCCATCCACCATCCTCATACTCACCACCACCCCCAGCTCCTACAACAAACCCAGCAACAAAGCCAAAGTCCACGAAAATACCCTCCTCCTCGAAAAGATTCTCAACATCTGTGACCGAACCCTCGCTGACAACAAATACTTCCTCGGCGACTAGTTCTCGCTCGTGGATATCCTTCACTTGCCTAATGCGGTTTTTGTGAGCAAACTGAAGGGGTTTGAGGAGGTGTTTGAGAGGTATCCGAGTTTTTGTAGGTGGTTGAGGTTGTGTGAGAGTACTGGGTAGTGAGTGAGCTTGAGTGGAGGGAAAGAAACTTGTGTGAGTGACGTGCAGAGGTGAGATGTATGGATATTTACGAAGACAGTTGTGTGGTGATGTTCTCATTCACCTACGACGAGGCTACGAACGCGTCAAGACCCTGGTCGCGACGTAGGTTCAAGGGGACAAAGTTTTTTGCTTTCGTGAAAATCAACAATTTCCACAACACCACAGTCAACATATTCCTGTCGTGATGGTGTCCTTGATATCCCGCCAACACCACCACTACCGCCAACACTTGCACTTGACCAGAGAAACTGCTCAACCTCTGAACACAGATAGTATATAGTAACACAGTGCACCAAAAACCAGAGCGAAAAAAATCTTTTGTTGAACTCTAAGAGCCTTTCAACACATCCCAAGTAGTGGCAACACCCAAGATCACGCAGACCTTTGTTTCAGAGTGCTGTTAAACCCATCTAATCCGAGGTCCCTAATGTCAATCTCAGGTTCCTGGGCACTTTTAATCGATACCCCGAAGGGTAATCCCCACGCACCAATTACAACACAGTAGTGTCAAGGTGAAGAAGACCGCAGCGGCTCCCCCAATTTCCCACCAAGCCCCCGAACCCACACAGCCGAACTCCGCAACCTTCCCGTAATACCACCCGGGACATCCAGGTTTTAGTCACTAGGGGACACTCTCTTCCGCTCGGCCCGAGCCGGAGCGTTGTGCCAACATTCACCTACATCGTAGAAGAATGCGGTGACTGCACAGTCTTGCACTGCTGCACCTGACCGTGTGTTGAACATGTGAGTTCTGTTACCACCTGGGGGCGATCCGTAATATCACTCAGCTCTGATTATCCGGGGCGATCCGTAATATCACTCAGCTCTGATTATCCAGGTCCGAGGATCGTGCCGAGGTCGTGATCCGTAAATCGGAAAATTGGGGTGGTAGTTGGCTATCACCATGATGAATCTTTTCTCATCATGAAGAGGTTGGAGATGATGATGCCATCATAAACGACCTTGGGGCTCGCAATTGAGCTAGATTGGCATGTGTCTTTGAATTTGGTTGGCGCCGCCTTCGTTATTTGGCGATTTGAATATTGGAAGTGTCTTTGTGGGGCTGGGGGCAGATTTGTGTGCCGAAGTGTGCCCATGGTAAAGCTGATTGGTGCTTAGCGAGTTGACTTGACAACCGGGAGTGAATGTTGATAGCAGGTTGCGCAACACTTAGGCTCGTGAATTTTGGCTTAATGCTGGATACCGTTCAATGAAAACAGTGCACCATCGTAGTTGGAAATCAATCCTTGAAACCCGACTGAAAGTGATAATACCACGAGTAGAATTGCGAAGATACAAGAGGAACTTGATACTCGTAGATGCCAGATGTCATCGTATCGTTGCATAGTACTACCCATTATTCTGTCAGCTTGGTGTACTAGCACCCAGCACTGAGTGGGAATGACTTAGAGGACTCGAAGACGCAGCACCGCTGACTTTTCGCATGCTCCTTTCATGCCAAGACTAGGTGGGATTAAGCGAGAGTGAGTCTAAGTGACTGCTTTCACTATTTCAGACCATTTTTTGCACTACCTTTCCGTTGATATATTCTTATTCTCTTTAATATCACAGAAAGATATACCTACCTGTCCTGGAGGGGAAACTAGAATTCTCCACTTTAGTAATACTTTGCACCTTGACAGATGCCGAGATCACTTAACCTACAAGCCAAACATTTCGAACCCAACGGGTTGCATTCATTGTCTACTCTACCTTGAAAGCTGAATATGAGAGATATACTTCTGAAGTAGCTTGACTGAAGATACAGAGAGGCAGTATGACAAAGTGCCACTCAGATCAGCAAAGCATTTCCCAGGGGCCAGTCAACTCTGCAACGATAGGATTCCAGACTTTGAAGAAAAGAATGCGGAGAATTCGTGAGGGTTTTCGGCCACAGCCATGATGTCGGAAAAGGGAAACAATCGCCTTGTTGACTTCATCGACGGTATGTGAAATTAACTCGCGATAAATGGAATAATCTAACTGTCTAACTACCGATCAAAATCCGCCAGGCTACCATCCAAAGACCGTGTTTCTGCCTTACAGAGTGAGAACTCAGAACTCACGAGACTAAAGACCCAAGCTACTCAGGTGTCAACTACCACATACTCCGGAAGAAATTGGTAAATATGTATAGTGCATATTGCAGAGCTTTATACAGCTGATTTCAGAGCACTTCATATTCAAGATATCATGTTCTCCTTTCGTAGAAATTCAATCTATCACGGCCTGTACATGAACACAACTCCACCGCATCCAACTAACCTTCCAACTTTCCAGCCATCTAACAAGAGGTTGGCAATAATAGTGGGAGGGTCCGCTTAAAATCCAGAACCTTCCTATTCGGGACAAAATAAGCGGAGCGAACATTCTAATTGGCCAATTTTCAAAACCCAACCAACATAACCAATAAGTTCTAAATCGCTGGAGATATAATAGTTCCCTCGCCTTTGCAATCAAAAAAGATTGATCATTCGTTTTATTATTCTTGTACGACATTCAAAATGCCATCTTTATGGATTTCAACTTTCCCTCTCTACATCCTCCCCCTCTACCTACTATGGAGAAAACTGCACCTCTGGCTCGCCATGCGACAGGCCGGCTGTTCACCACCCATCAGCTACAAACACACCGACCCCTTCCTCGGCACCGATCTTCTATCCAAAAAAAGCGCAGCCAGCCAGAACGGTGATGCGCGAGCCATAGACCAATCCATCTTCAAAACCTACGGAAAAACAGTCCGCACCACCCTGCTCGGTAAGAACTACTTCCTCACCATGGATTCCCAGAACATGCAGACCATCCTCGCACCCTCCGTCGAGAAATTCGGCAACGAGCCGATGAACCGCGAAGCGTGTAGACCGTTCTTAGGCGATGGGATCATCACGACGGACGGCGCGCTGTGGAAGCGATCGAGGCAGCTCATCATTCCGCTCTTCACGCGCGCGCAGATCTCGGAGTTATCCACTTTTAGCGGTCATGTGGAGAGGATGCTGGAGAGGGTTCCGTGTGATGGGGAGGTGGTGGATATGCAGCCCTTGCTGAAGATGCTTTTTCTTGATAGCTCGACGGAGTTTATCTTTGGTCGGTCGGCGAATGCTCTTAAGACTGATTCGCAGGCTGAGGGGTCGGTGGCTGAACGGCTTCCTGTGGCTTTTGATGATGCGTTGAGTGGGATGAGGAAACGGTTTATGCTTCCGAGGGTTGTTCTGTGGATCATGCCGAGGGATAGGAAGTGGTTGGAGAAGTGCGCTGAAGTGCATGCGATTATTGATGGGTTTATTGAGGAGGAGATGGAGCTTCAGAAACGGGAAAAAGTAGCTTCTGAGTCGTCGACTCCATATCGCTATGTGCTTCTGAGAGAGCTCGTGAAAATAACAGATGATAAATTATTCATCCGAAACGAACTTCTGAATATATTTTTTCCTGCGAGGGATACAGCTGGAGTATTGACAGGAAATGTCATCTTCCTCCTCGCAAGACATCCCCACGTATGGAAGAAACTACGCACTGAAGTTTTAGAAATCGGCCAGAAAAGCCTTTCCTTCGAGCTTCTGAAATCAATGAAATACCTACACGCAGTAATCAACGAAAGTACGTCCCCAAACCCAACTCTAGCAGCCATAATCTGACATCTATCTAGCCCTCCGCATCCTAGCTCCCGTAGACGGAAGTTGGAAAACCTGTCTAGCACCCTGCGTCCTCCCACAGGGCGGCGGTCCAAAGGGAGATAAACCCATCCTCTTACAGTCCGGTGATCAAGTCGAGCTTGTCTTCGGCGCCATGCATAAAGATCCCATGATCTGGGGCGAAGACGCAGAAGATTTTGTGCCAGAGCGGTGGGAAGGTCGGAAGCAGAATTGGGAGTATATCCCGTTCATGGGTGGCAGACGGATTTGTCCGGCGCAGCAGAATGTGCTTACGGATGTGGCGTTTGTGCTGGTGAGGCTCTTGCAGAAGTTTGAAGGGTGTGAGAATAGGGATGAGTGTGTGGAGCATGTTGATGCGCAGGTTTTTACGAAGGAGAGTAGGAATGGGGTTAAGGTTGCGTTTACGCTTGCGTAGATGGATATTATAGATTGAATCCTGACGGAACCTAACATGCAGGGAAAAGATTTGCTTTTGTGATTTGAACCGCTGAGACTCAGACTTAGGAAGGTTCTAAACTCTACAAATATAGGAAATGTATATAGAAGATACTAAAAGACTCTGGCTTAACCTCTTTAGACTTTTACTCAACAAAAGTCCTTCTCGATTACATTACTATAAGTGAATTATGAAAAGACGCAAAAGCAAGCATGATTTCATAGAACCATATTACGAGATTTTCTCCGTCTCCTTAGAGCTAAGTAAAAGTCTCACTCAATGAATTACAGGACCTATCATTAACGCGTTGACTCTGTATTCCCTACTTAGCAAAGACAACTCGAAGACATTGCTTTCTTTAGCTCATACAATATATCAAAACTCCGTATTTACCTTCGCTTAATCACCATGAACTGCCAACCAACCTACTTATAGATATATACAACTCAGGCTTCTCCTACCAGACTACGCACAGAAGACACCCCACTCACGCTCTTAAAACACTGCTTGTACTATCGATAAAAACCGCAAACCCACAAAAAGCCCCTCTAGAACTCTTCTCGAATCTCAAAGTTTGAAATCTGACTTAAGAAACAAGAAGCTCCTTCTATACTTCGTACCCATTCTATAAGAGAAAGTACCAGTAGCTTTCACAACACCAATGTATCGTAGCGCAGAACTACCCATTCAATATTTCCATTGTTCAAAGTAAAGAGAAGGAAAAGACATAACTCAATTGAATAGCTCACGATAAGTAGAATACCCGTTCTTCATTCAAAATTACTCTGAGTTATTTCGAAGACTTGGATTAATATCTAGAAAGAAAAGTAACAAAATACAACGAGACCCTCCTACTAATCTCCTACAAACACAATCTACTCCAAACCACATCTCACAATAATCCCATTAAAGCTCGCATGAGTACCTTGTATTCTTAAATTCTACAATACCCAAGATCTTATACTACATTTAATGCAAAGAGGGAGATGAATCTCCTGCTACTACCACTAATACACAATATCTCGAACATCCAAGTTCCAACACCCTACGTAATCCAGTCACCCAAAATGTCAAAAAGTGAAAGTAGTGGCAGTAGCAGTGATATATTCCCAACTGAACTCAGATAGTAGTATCCTATGTCACACAAATTCAAAGCATGACTTGAACCTCTTAAGAAGTGTGATTGTAAATTCAAACTCCGGTATCCCATCCCATGCCATCCCTCATATAAACATTGACCTCATTCATACCATACACCCATTCAGCAGCAGACACCACCACCCAAGAGACGCCTATTTCTTCGACTAGCTAGCTAGCTAGATTCAATCTGTCCTCCTTGCATCAAGACCCCATACATCTAACTTGGAACGTACAGCTCCCAGTCTGTACATACATCAAATCACGGTCTCAAGACCGCTGATCAATGATAGTACTTAGGAGTCTTTTTCTTTTCCTGATCATCAAACCAATTCTGTGTATCCTTCCCAACCAGTTCCTTCTTCTTCCAAAATACTTCCATTGTTTCCTGCTGTACATCCGCCTTATCTGCTCGCTCTCCCCCTGCCCCGCCTGTTCCCCTAAACTCCGCTCGCTCTTAACATGGTCCTGGGATCTGTTTGGAGGGCCACCAGAGTTCACTACAGGCTTGTCCTTCGGAGATGCAACCGCTCTTCTTATCCGCCTCCCGTTCCTCCTTGCCTGCGCAGTAAGTTCTGCACCATAACGCAGTCTCCAAACTTGTGCCCGATTGTGGCCGAAAGATCCGGTCCAAAAGCGAACATGTCCCGTGGCAATGGGATACCCAATGTGATACGGCATGAAAGATTTCCAAGAGTTGACCAGACGAGGAAGCGCACGTGCATACCACGTGAGTTTCCTCCTAAGAGAGCTGCTGTGGTTTGTCGTGCTGAGCTTTTCCACCCATTTCCGTATGGTCAATCGGTTCTTGCGAAGTGTCAGCTGCTGGAGATGTAGTAGACGGGACAGCTTGTCATATTGACGATCATCTTGCTGTCCGCATTCCCTCAACATAGTCATTTTGTCCATTAGCAGCCCGAGGTTGTGCACTTCTTTTTTGTGCTGTATTCTCCCATCTTCCATCAGGACCTCTGCATCCCGAAGTTTTCGATTGAACAAGGCGGTTCTCACAGCCAAATTGTACATTTCAACATTGGGTTGGATATTGTAAGGATCTGAAACCATGGTTCTGAAACATACCACGTGAGTTTCCTCCTAAGAGAGCTGCTGTGGTTTGTCGTGCTGAGCTTTTCCACCCATTTCCGTATGGTCAATCGGTTCTTGCGAAGTGTCAGCTGCTGGAGATGTAGTAGACGGGACAGCTTGTCATATTGACGATCATCTTGCTGTCCGCATTCCCTCAACATAGTCATTTTGTCCATTAGCAGCCCGAGGTTGTGCACTTCTTTTTTGTGCTGTATTCTCCCATCTTCCATCAGGACCTCTGCATCCCGAAGTTTTCGATTGAACAAGGCGGTTCTCACAGCCAAATTGTACATTTCAACATTGGGTTGGATATTGTAAGGATCTGAAACCATGGTTCTGAATAAATTTAAGACGGCGTCTGAAGGGATGGGATTTCCTATGGAAGCTGTATCGCATTTGTAGGATGAACGCAGAGGACGTGAAGAGGGTCTAGAAAGTACATATGCCCATCTCAAAAGCTCATGCCAGGTATCCTTACTCATCATGACCGAATATTGAGAGGAAATGTAGTCAATGATCTTCAGAGCAGTGGGTATATCATTGTTAGAACCGTAACAATGTGCAATTGAATAGAGAAGTTGCTGGCTAGGGTAAAATTGGGAGTCAGGCGGCCACTTTCTGGCAGTAAGATCACTATTTCCACCAGTGGATGTAAGCTCCGGCACATTTACGTTCCACACACGCTGCAGAATAGATTCAACAGCTGGAATGTCTCCCTCACGACCTAGGCCAATTATCATGTGAGAGAAGGTTTCTTCGTTTCCTCTTTGCCCAGAAGCAACCATTTGATGGAAGAGGGTCGAAACTCGTTTCGCAGTTCCACGAGCTCCGATAGTGAAATCTTGAACATCAAGTGGCGGTTGAACCCATGAACGAGGGGCCAAATTCCATGCAGTATTTCTCAACCTACGCCTCTTCCCCGGATGACTTGAAGGAGCCCAACATATCACAGCCATAAAGTCGTTATAGCAAATAATGTCTGGGTCCAAATGACCTTTTCCCATAGGTGTTAAAGCCAACCAGATATCTTCCGCATATTGAAGATTTCCAACGCCCCTAGCAACCCGTAGCAGATAGCGTAGTTCGAGAATAGTAAACGGATATGACTCACGACGAGCGTCTACGACTCTTCTGATTAAGGAGAGGAAAAGGGAGCAGAACTTGTAATGGCCGATAATATCAACCTGTGGAAGACTGAGTTGTCCGGCCCTGACAAAGCCAATATCTTCATGAAGACGGTGGTAGCGATCGACGAAGTGTTTCGGATCCAAACAGCGCAACGTCTCAATGAATGTAGTAGTAGGCATCCAAGCCAGGATGTTGATTAGAGTGGTCCTATTAGCTTCAGATGATAATTGGACGAAGGATCGAAGGACGGAATGAGGATCTCCGGAACGTAGCGCACTACGAAGTCTTTTTGTGACCTGCGATACAGCATCGCTGTGACCGTGCTTGACCCATTGGTCATCTTCAGGGTTATATGGAAGTAAGCCGGGCACGAAGTTGGGTCTCCTGTGTCTAGTTTCCCATCGTTTATGTGCCAATCTGTTTCTGGAGTACAGAGGAAAGTAATTTGGAGGCGCATGCAAACCTGGTGGTGCAGGTATATCCGGAGAGAGTTGGGCATTCGTCACATTGTCATAAGTCCAGGGGCGAGGAGGCAGCCGTGATCTTCTCTTGGCTCTTATGGTTTGTTCATGAAAAGGACTGGCTGATTGCTGGGTGGTGAGGTGGAATTTTATAGGACGACGAAGCCCAGGGTGGGTGATCATCGGGCTGGTGGTTGACTTTCGATGGATACTTAGGTTTTGATATCATTTCCTGCCGCGCGAGACTCAAGGCTGACCAGACCACATATAGTGGTTCTCAACACATGTCGTGGTTGGAGATGCACCTCCAGTGAGTCTCGGCGCGTATTATGCAGCAGAAGTGTGGTTTTTCTCCTCCCATCAATTAAATCGGATGTTCGATAAATGCGCGAGTTTCGTATAACTGATCTTTTGCGTTTGAAAATCCGCCTACAGGGGGTAGGAATTGAAAATTGGGGGGTAGGCCTGAGGGAGGATGTTAATCGAGTTCGCATGTAGTGGAGTGCTGAGTACGGAGTAGAGCAGTGAAGAATCAAAGAAAGTGAATGAGGGGGAAGAAAGTTGGGGACTGAACTCACGCTCGAGCGTGTGGATCTGTGGATCTGGGGAAGAGGACCTCGGATGATCCGGCGGTGGAGCAGAGGGAAGGGGCAAGCAGGGGAGGCTAAACCTTGAGAGACCTGGAATTGCGAATTGTGGATTGCAGTGGGAATGGATGTGGGGATGGAGTCACAACCCACGGGCATCCGTCAGGTCTGCTTTCGAATCTTAACGCCGATGAGATAACTCAGCCTCGCCCTCAGCCTTGCCCGAGCGGCCCGACTTCCGACCTGTCTTCCGGTCCTTGAATTTTAGCCGCATCTGCGTGTTGCCACCAATCAACGGAGCCTCGTGAATAGAGAAATTCTATACACCAAAATTCAACTCAATACCATCTTTCCATTCCACCATGGCCGATGTTGACGACGGCGCTGCCGCTCCCGTATCGGAGCCTCTCGACTTGGTGCGCTTGTGTCTGGACGAGGTTGTTTTTGTGAAGCTGCGCGGCGATCGAGAACTCAAGGGTCGTCTACATGTATGCCCCGCCCCCTCATCGAGAACAACCACGAAATTCCGGTGGATTTACCGACTGACCACGACACAGGCCTATGATAGTCATTGCAATTTGGTTTTAGGGGAGGTACAGGAGACGGTCTACGTGGTAGACGAGGACGACGATGGCGAAGAGACAGTCAAGGTGCGCGTCGTAGACGACAAGCAAAGCTGGAATTCTTTGGCGGTGGCCATACTGACGATGTTGACAGACAATTCACAAGAAATCCGAGATGTTATTTGTGCGAGGTGTGTTGCCTGACGCCTTTATTTTGGCGTACTAGCTAATGCCATCTAGGCGATAGTGTAGTCCTCATTTCCCCTCAAGGCACCTCATGAGCCGGCCTTTTACATGACTCTCGATATCCCTACCAACATCCCGTTCCACTTTGTGACGAAGGCAAAACAGGCATATGGGTTGCATTGCAGGATGTGCAATTGGTGGTTTGGAAAGATGCGGATGCAGATGCGGACTCTGCTGTGAGGCGAAAGCAGAAACAGACAATTATGGACATGAAGGCCCTGCCCTTTTTGGTCCAACTAAATACTACAATATATTAGGAATTCATGTGCAAGACTTTTCCAATGCCATGCAGAAACATTTGTCCCAGGAAGTGCTGAATTGCTGAAATGATTCACGCCTCGGCCTCGCGTTATCGATAAAGCTCGAGCTCACGAAACAGGGCTCTACCTGGCCGAGCGAGTCATCGACTCAGTCACAAACATTCACTTACATCTTAGCTATAAACCGCCATCCCACTTCCCATATCGATTCACAACAAGATCTTAACACAAACATCTTCAAAATTCATTCCATTGCAGAAATCTGTCATCAAACCAGATCAATGATCCCGCGAATACCCTAAACTTCATCTTCTACTACACCCCGCCACTTTCGAGCACATCAAGACACAGTAACTATGGCATCCAAAGGCAAGCAATTGCCACACGAACGTCGAAAAGGCGAATCTGTAAATCTCACTATCTCCCACAAATTGTTAATACTAACAGTCCCCCTAGGCGCTCAGTGAATTCGCCGATTATGTCGAAAAGCAACAAGCTCTCAGATACCCAAGCGCAGCATCCACTTCAGTCCCCAGAACAGTTCCCAATTCCACAACTGCATTAGAAGACCATTCCGAGCTAGACATCCTAGACTCTTTGGACCTCGCAGATCACTCCCCCCACGTTCGACTGAAAGAATTACTCCTTAGCCAAGATGAAGATAGTTTGACCGCATTAGTCAACATTCTGGAGCTGCGGGTTGAAGAAGGACATGGCGAGACGATATTTGAAGTTGGGTTTGAAAATAATGGTGATTCTATGGCGTTGACCAAGGAAGAGTGGGAGCTCTCGATGAAGAGGTTAGATCAGGCTGCAAAGAAAGTTCGGGCAGATTGTCAGGTCCTACTTACGAGAAATGTTGGGGGTGATGCAGAGGCCGAGACGGCTGGTACGGATAAGGAGAAGGAATGTAGTGGGAAGATACTTATTCGTCAACATCCTGCGACGGTAGAAGAGGTCATTGAAACACGAATAGCGGTAGTAGGAAATGTGGATGCGGGAAAGAGTACCATGCTAGGAGTTCTAGTCAAAGGGGGTCTAGACGATGGAAGAGGGAAAGCAAGAGTCAACCTGTTTCGTCACAAACACGAAATAGAAAGTGGACGAACTAGTTCGGTGGGTATGGAAATCATGGGTTTTGACACCATGGGGAAAGTCATCGCCTCTGATGTCCCAGGACGGAAACTCTCCTGGGAAGAAATTGGGAAGCGCTCTGCGAAAGTGATATCCTTCACGGATCTAGCAGGTCACGAACGGTACCTCCGGACAACCGTCTTTGGTCTTCTATCATCCAGTCCAAATTATTGTCTTTTGATGGTAGCAGCGAATAACGGACTAATTGGAATGTCAAAAGAACATCTTGGCATCGCATTAGCTCTCAACGTCCCAGTCATGGTAGTGATAACCAAAATCGACATCTGTCCCCCTCAGATCTTGGAACAAACAATCCAACAAATAACACGCATTCTAAAGTCCCCCGGCGCCCGCAAAATTCCAATCTTCATAAAAAACAGAGAGGAAGGTATTAATACGGCTACCCAGTTCGTCTCCCAACGCATCTGCCCAATCTTCCAAGTCTCCAACGTCACAGGCGAATCTTTGGATCTCGTCCGGGCATTTTTAAATATTCTTCCTCACCATGGACATTATGATGCAGATGCCCCATTCGAATTCCATGTCAACGACACCTTCTCCGTCCCCTTCGTAGGAACGGTGGTAAGCGGAATCATCAAATCGGGCGTCGTCCACACCGGCGACACCGTCTTGATCGGTCCAGACTCCCTAGGCCAATTTACAACCACCACCATCCGAAGCATCGAACGAAAACGTATACCCGTTCCTGCAGCTTCCGCCGGCCAGAGCGCTTCCTTTGCCCTAAAACGGGTCCGTCGAAAAGACGTCAGGAAAGGCATGGTCGTCCTCCCCAAATTAGAACTCGCCTCCCCAAAGGTATATCGCGAGTTCGTTGCCGAGGTCCTCATCCTCTCCCATGCCACGACCATTAAGACGAAATACCAGGCTATGCTCCATGTGGGACCGGTAAGTCAGACTTGTGCGATTATTGGCATTGATCGATCGTATATAAGAACGGGTGATCGCGCGACGGTCGCGTTTCGCTTTGTCCAGAGGCCGGAGTACCTTGCTCCGGGTGATCGGTTGCTCTTTAGAGAGGGAAGGACTAAAGGGTTGGGGATCGTGAAGAGTGTGGGATATGATCATAGTAAGCCTTTGGGTGGTGGTGAGGGAGGGGACAATGGCGAGGAGGCCGGAGAAGAGGGGAAGGATGGTGAGAAGATTGAGAAGGGCGAGGAGAACGCAACGGAGGGTGGGAAAGGCAAGGGGAAGGGGAAGGAGGGTGCGTGAGTGCTGGGTTGCAATTGGTGTATGTGATGGAGAGGATGGTGTTTATAAGTGAGGAATACGAGGTGGCTTGGTTTTGCCTCTTCGATATGGGTTTGTGGTTGTTTGCATTCTGGGTTAGCGAGCGGGAGCTGGAGCTGGTGTTTGTGGGCTCTTCATTCTCTCTTTTCCCTTTTCCTTTCCTTCTTTGTGTCTTTCTTTCTTCTGTTCCTCGGGTTTAAATTAGGATCGGGATTATGGGCTATGAACGGGGTATGGTAGTTAGGCGGTTAGGTGTAGTTCAAATATATATCTTATCTCATTCCCCTACAAGAGATATTTCCCTTGTGACCTCGCCTTTGACGAACGCGAGAATAAACACCACTAAATTTCAAGTAAGCCAAGCAGGGGGTTCTAAAGTTACGGGTTCACAAGTTGTGAATTAAAGGTCAAGAGTGCGTGTTTTACCACTCCAATGGTTTTCAAGTAATTCATACGGTATAACTTCGGTTGTGTTAGGGCTTTTGGGGGGTGTGGTTAGGATAGGTTAGAGGGCCCCGGGGGGGGGTAAAAAGATAAGTATAAACCTTATTAGCCATTTAGGTAATATAATAGGCTTAGTCTAAGACCTCTTATAACTTTATATACTTATTCTATTTATCTGTAACGAATACTCAAACTGGCTAACTAAACTTGGCTGGGTGTTCGCTGGTTGGTATGCTATGATAAGAAGAAGACTATCGGGTTGTTCACTTGGAAGTGAACTCGTTACTTGTATCAAAGATGTCAAACTAATATGATAAGATTGATAACTAAGTTGAGCACGAAGCTCCTATCTAATGGCAGACGTGCCAGTCTTATATAGCACCTTCGTTCTCTCTACATCGCCTACATCACCTGTCGATGTAGTCGACCTCCTATCGCTAACATCGACTGTCGATACAGG